CCTTTTTACCTCGCTGCTGTCGGATAAGGTACATAGCAACAGCGAACTCATCCATAGTAAGAAAACCAGCCGAGTTTATGTCAGCAAGATCCCAGATCTGTGCTAACACCTCCTCTGGAAGTTTCGATTCGGAGAAAAATGGCACAGCTTCATCACCCGTGATAAAACCCTTGCCAGTTCTGTCAAGACCTTGATAGATAGTATCGAATTTTTGTTTATCTATTGGACTAATCGCCCAATCTCCAGCGCTAGGTTGTGGAACTGGAGGGGTGAATGCGGGTCGACTGAGAGGACTACTAGCCCTTCCATGCTGCCCACTGAATTGTCTTGGAATTGCCGACATGGCACCATTCCCAGTAGATTGACGACTAGCAGGTCCTCTTCGTGTAGCAGCCTCATAAAGACCAGCAGGAAGAATATTGGGCAAGGCTCGTAATTGTCCGGATTTGAACGAAGCGATTAAATGCATGGCAATCACGAACTCAGTACATGTAAGAGCCCCTCGTTGTTCGGTGTCTGCCAGATTCCATATCCTACCTAATATCTCATTCGGTAGACCAGCACGTTCAAATATCTGCTTAGCGTGTTCACCTGGAAGAATGCCTCCTTGAGCCCCTGATTTCTCAAAAAGTTGTGCATATTGTGATGATTTGTCGGCAGGAAGAGGAGGGACTCGAATTGGACCAGAGCCGCTGGGTTGAGGTTGTAAGGCGCTGGGGGGAGGCCCAAGGGGAGCTTGAAAGCCACCAGTAGGGCTGATATTACCTAAACCTCCATCAAATTTTGGTAGCGGTCCGGGGCGTAGAGCTAATTCAGGGGTGGGATCTCGTCCAGCTTGATAATGTCCGATCAATCTTAGTACAATACCAAAGCCCGCTGGTGTCAGAAGCCCTCGATTCTCCGTGTCCGCAATCTGCCATATCTAATAGCCAGAAAGTCAGTATGATATCACCCATAGAGACATCTCTTCTGCGTTACACCAAGTAAAACAAGTAAGCCAAGTAAATAGCATAAAACATACCTCTCCCAAAATTCGGGGTTCCAATCTCGTCTTTTCAAAGAATTTGACTGCGACTTCTCCTGTAACAACCCCAATATTTTCCGTGTCTGCCTGTCGAAACAATTGTCCAAAGACACGCTTCTCCTCGGGACTTAGATTTAAGGCTGGTGTCACTGGCAGCTGTTAGTAGATAAATTCATCCATCCGCAGATCCCGTATAGCTATAGCTATTGAATAACCATCCAACACTATCCGCAACAGCCATCAAGCTCAGAAAATAAAGAAATTCTCACCTGGATCGTCGGCCATTCTGCTCTCCTGAATATTCGAGAACAGTCGTTAAAGCAAGAAGTTGTCGATAATCACTGAAGCCGCTTGCGACAATCGTGAAGCTCCTGGAGCATGTAAATAATACTTCAACCGACGCTAACTCGGAAAAGTCGAATACGAGAAATCTTTCTTAGAATTCAAAAACCAAGGCAGCTTCCTTCCGTACGTAGTAAAAATATCAAAAAACGTGGGAGTTGGACGTTCTTTTCAAAGTTCGATCTAATGCGGACGAAGTAGTGTAGTGTAGTGTAATGATGGTAGGTACTTTACTTATTATTAAGAGCGAAGGTTATTAATAAGGTACTAATAAGGTCAAAGCAAGGCAAGGCAAGGCAAGGCAAGGCAAGGCATGTACGGTAATGTATCTTACTAAAAGTAAAGTACCTACAAATAACTACCTACCTACTTTTAGCCACAGCCAACCCAGGCCTAAAACATTAAATTAGCCAGCAGAAGCGAAAGGCGGAGAAATCGGATCGGCAACAAATCAATTTCCATCATATCATCATCTGCTTCACTTCATTTAGAATGATTGGATCACCTCAACCACTCTGACTCTTTTTTTATATCTTTTTCTGTGTCACATTTTGCTGTCATTTCCGATCTCTTTGCCTAAACTAACACTTTTATACTTTGCTGTCGTTCATGGTCGTGCATTGTGATACATTAGTAGCTTTATGAGATGTATGACATACAAGACAATTTCATGCATCATTATCAAAGAGGGGGTAGATGAGAAATGCATGTTCCTGCTTAGCATAATTGATCATGATCACAAAACCAAAGAGTATCCTATTTAAAAAGGAATGTCACATTTGTCTAGATTTTTCTTATTGGTATCTGTATTGACTACTAGGATTTGTGGTATTTGGGATTACAAAAAAGCATTCTGATTAAAAAACAAGAGAAATTCCTTCATGAATTCCTTGAAAGGAAGAATGTCTTTATAGGCTTGCCGGAAAACATGAACCTGTTCCAAAACAAGCCTCGAAGAACATCACACACTACGATATCAAGTACTAAATAAAGCTCTGCAAATATTTGATCCCATAGGAGATAAATATGTGGAAAGAGAGAATGATTTAGTACTCAGCATCGGCACCCTCATCACCCTCAAGAGAATCAGTCGCAACTTCTTCATAATCACGCTCCAAAGCGGCAAGATCCTCACGGGCCTCAGAGAATTCACCTTCCTCCATACCCTCACCAACATACCAATGCACGAAAGCACGCTTGGAGTACATGAGATCGAATTTGTGGGAAAGCGCGGACCATGCCTCAGCGATAGCAGTTGTGTTTGAAAGCATGCATCTTAAAAGGGGTTAGCAAAATCATATACAAGGGGTTTACATCAACTTACACAGCACGGTTGACCTTGGCCAAATCACCGTTAGGAACCATTTGAGGTGGCTGGAAGCAGATACCGATCTTGAAACCAGTTGGGCACCAATCAACGAATTGAATAGTACGCTTAGTTTTAAGGGTGGCCACAGCAGCGTGAACATCATTTGGTACAACATCACCACGGTACAACAAGCAAGTAGCCATGTACTTTCCGTTACGTGGGTCACACTTGACCATCTGGTTGTTGGGCTCGAAGCAAGACATGGAGATTTCTTGAACGGAGTTGGCCTCGTGGGATGCCTTAGCGGCAGAGACGACTGGGGAGTAGGCAACGAGAGGGAAATGGATACGTGGGTATGGAACCAAGTTGGTCTGGAACTCGTTAAGATCAACATTGAGGGAACCGTCGAATCGAAGGGAGGCAGTGATCGAAGAAACAACTATAAAACATTAACACGAGGCAAATTTCCTATCTCAAAAACTATCATACCTTGGGCGATCAAGCGGTTCAAGTTGACGTAATCAGGTCTTTCGAGACCAAGGTTCTTGCGACAAATATCGTAGATAGCCTCGTTATCAACCATGAAAGAACAATCGGAGTGCTCAAGGGTGGTATGAGTGGTCAAGATGGAGTTATATGGTTCGACGACGGAGGTAGCGGTTTGTGGTGCTGGGTAGACGCAGAATTCCAACTTTACTTTCTTTCCGAAATCGACTGACAAACGCTCCATAAGAAGAGCACCGAAACCAGATCCAGTTCCACCACCGAAGGAATGGAAAACGAGGAAACCCTGGAGACCAGAGCAGTTATCGGCAACCCGGCGAACCTTATCTAAAACTTGATCAATCAACTCCTTGCCAACAGTGTAATGTCCACGAGCGTAGTTGTTTGAAGCATCCTCCTTTCCTGTGATCATTTGTTCCGGATGGAACAAGTTGCGGTATGTACCGGTACGGACCTCATCGACGACATTTGGCTCGAGATCACAGTAGATCGCACGTGGGACGTATTTTCCTTGACCTTCATTTCAAATAACCTGTCAGCACTCTGACCCATCATAGTTCACGTACTTGGACTTGTATGCATACCGGTTTCGGAGAAGAAGGTGCTGAAGCCTTGGTCGGGGTCGGCGGCTTTACGTTCCTCGGTCAAGTATCCATCGGGCTGTGGAAAGATGGTGTTAGTGAAGATTCGCAAGTATTCCAAAGAGTTTTGTCAGACTTGGAGATTCTTACCTGAATACCATGCTCAAGACAGTAAAGCTGCAAGAGAGAAAAAACATGTGTCAGTCATACGAGTTCCATATCAACATACTCCAACAACAGCAACAGTGCGACAACATGTCTTGTTGACTTGTAGACATACCTCCCAGCAAGAGTTTGCGATTTGACAACCGGCTTGACCGACTATAGAGAACCCAAATCAGTATATACTTTTCCAGCATCAATATCGTATTTGTTTACGAAATACCAGATCAACCCCTAGTTATAGCGGTGTATAGTATAAACACGTCGGAAGAATCTTACCGTTGACACTAATAACTTCACGCATCTTGAATAGTAAATAGGTGAAGAGGTAGATGTAGATTTGAGATTATTTAGAAGAAGAAGATGATCTTAGCAAGGAAATCTCTTGCAAGAATGTTGCTCAAATATGGTACTTTTCGGGAGGATTTGATAGTGGGGAATTGGGAAAGCACCAGGGGAAGGATGTTGAGGAATTAAAGTCGTCGCTTCTGGAAAAAGTGGAGAGAAAATAAACAACGGGATTTTTATCTAAAGGGGCGACCGCGTTGGCGTTTTGGGGACTAGTAAGGATTGGGAGATTATAGTCAGAGCTTCTGGAATTTATCCACTTGGATAGATCAATTAAGCTTAGAAGGGATTAGTCGGTCTAGTTGATTGGTAAAAAGGTGAGCTAGTGGAAAAGAATAATATGAAACACCTCGGGTTACGATGGAAGGTACGGAGTGAGTACTCTGTAGACTGACTTGACTGACTTCTAGAAGAAACATTGGTACATAGCTGGACGAGCTGGGAGTGGAAACTCATAATTAGGATGAATATCATCATACGAATTCCAGCACAAGACATTCATAAAGGAACGAAAATCATCCCCAATACGAGGTCCGATCCAATACAATTCTATACCAGAATTCCAAGGTGCAATCCAGCTCCATACATCTAGCTCCATACAACAAACCCCGAGAATTCCAAAATGCAATACAACAACACAAGTTACACAACACAGCTCCAAACCTAAAAACCACACCAAAACTAGTACTATCCATCCATCACACCAACCAGCTCACTCACCCCATCCAAAATGCAACCCACCAACCTCCTCACTCTCCTCCTCCTAACAACCCAGCCCTCCCCCGTCCAAGCCAACACCGAAAAAGCCATCTTCCTCGCCCCCTCCGCCCTCAGCATCCCGCTCTCCCACCCCACCCTCTCCGATTTACATCTCCCATCTCTTACTCCCGATCACCACACCCTGCGCACGCATATCCATGCCGAGTTTCCCACGGCAGATGCACGATATGGAGTTTCTTCATGGTATCTACTCGATGAGTTGAAAGAGGGACAGCGATATGAAGTGCGAGTATGTTGGGCTGCTACGGTATGATTTGATTTCTATTTCTGTTCCGTTTCCACCTTGCATATCTCATGTTGATGTCACATTTCACATTTCATATTTCACATTTCACACATAATATACCACATCCCACACATCATAATTCATACATCACAACCCCCGAAATCCCAATCCCAATATTTAACATTCCATCTATATAAATCTGAATCAAGCTAATTTCTACCTCGCCTCCCTCCTTCCAGGATCCAACTTCATTTCACCTCCAAACCTATGATCTACCTACGGTATTCGAAACTTCGGAGTTAATCACATCTCTTGCACAATATTCCGAGACCCATCAACCTCTCTTCAACGATCTCTCCGATCCCACATCCCAAATTCAAGATTCGGAGTCCAGACACAAGCACAAGGATGCTACATCGTCAACTTTATTCCTGCAGATTTATGCAGCAGCCGATTATTACACCATGAACCAAACTCTGATGGAAAACGTTCCACCCGTATTAATTGACATAATTCTCGACCCCTACATATTCAATCTCCTACCTCAACCATTAGTACCAACAATCGCCTATATAATATTACTTGCTATCGGAAGTTGGTGTATCTCCCGATACGTCATGATATGGATATGCAAGGTAGGAACTGAAGAATTGAATCATGAGAAGAAAGAATCATGAATAATAAGCAGGCTATCATTTTCCTCGAATTATTTGCCATCAAAGAAAGCCATGCAAGTTCCGCATTTACAGGATACCATATCCTTTCTATCAAAAAAGAAACCCGACCATCCCAAACACACCAATTTTTTTTAGATTGCTACCTATATTCATCATGTCATAACGCGAGTAGAGGCACTACCATCCTGGTTGTCCGGGATAACCACCTGAAGGAGGAGGAGGGTAACCACCAGATGAACCACCTTGTGAGCCATGTTGTTGATGTTGACCATGGTGAGGATGGCTTCCATGTGGTACAGGAGGCGCTCCACCACCATACATTCCTCCTGACATTTCTGGGCCAGGTGGACCACCGTATTGATGTTGTTGGTGCTGTCCATGCTGTTGATGTTGAGGTGCACCATATCCACCTGGAGAACTTGGACCAGATCCATAAGCTGGAGCTCCTGGGTATTGATTATGTTGTGATTGTGGTGCTTGTCCAAATGAAGACTGATGTTGAGGACCACCATATTGTGATTGTTGACCTGGAGCACCATATTCATGTTTTGGTGGCATACCGTGAGATGGGTTTTGTGGATCATATTGATGTGATGTAGCAGATCCTGGGGAGTAAGATGGTGCATGACCTTGAGAATAGGACTGTGACGATGGAGAGTGTGTAGCTCCTTGTCCATAAGATTGCTGTGCAGGAGCTGGAGAGCTGTAACTATTTTGGCTTGTACCACCTGGTTGATAGGAACTTGGAGGAGCAGCACCGGAATAGCCTCCTTGGCTTCCACTGCTATTGTTTGAATATCCAAAGTTTCCACCACCCTGCTATTGGGAAAATTAGCACAATACCATAATGTATCATTATGGTTTTACTCACAGATTGACTCTGATGGCCGAACATTCCTCCCAAACTTCCCATCAATCCACTTCCACCACTTTGTCCATGTTGACCACTCTGCGAACTAGAGTGATTCTGATTCTGATTCTGCGCGTTGTCTGTTTTCTTTCCGCCGCCCAATAAACTGCCCATCAAAGCTCCGGCAATACCTGATGAACCACTTCCACTTGTCGAATGCGAATTGTTGTTATTGTGATTTGATCCGGATGATCCTCCTCCAAGGAATGAACTGGCGAGTCCGGCAATACCTGATGAACCACCTCCACTCGTCGAATGCGAATTATTATTGTGGCTTGATCCGGATGATCCCCCTCCAAGGAACGAACCGGCGAGTCCGCCTAGTCCTCCCAATCCACCTTGTGAACCGGAACTGCTACTGCCTCCACCAAGAATGCCTCCGGTTTGTTTCTTAAGATATTGGTTGGTGATGAAAGACTATTGTCGAAAAAGACATTAGCATGATGCACGATAAACTCTCTAGAATAAAACACATAAATAAACTCACCCCGATACCTCTCTCCCCATCACCGCCCGCATTCTCCCCTCCAAATCCTCTGGTCCCATCACCGCCCATCTCCTGCGCATGACCCTGACTTCCATTCTCTCCTGGTAATCCATATGGGTGTTCTGTTCCCTGTGGTGTGGCTTGGGGGGTAGGACCCGTAGGTGCAGCGTGCGTAGGTGTATCCCATTGCGAAGCCCCAGTGCTGAGTTGCACGAAATAGTATTTCTTGGAATTGCCGTCCCATTGGGCAATCCAGCCAGATGGGAGAGGAGGAGGTGCGAAGGAGGGCCCTTCTTGACCGGGTCTGTGGGGATGATAAAAAGGTTAGTAATGTTCACATGTGAGTGATGCTTGATGGGGAGTTGAGGAAAGGGAAGGGAAAGAAAAGTGGAGGGTTACGTTGAAGGTCCTGTCATTTTCGCAACTGTGTTTGTTTGTATTTGTGTGATGGGATGGGATGGGATGGGATATGCGACTCCAGAGATGATGATTTGTAAAAACCGATGGAAGAATCAGAATGGGTATCGAAGTCGAAATCGAAGTTGTGGAAATCAAATGGTTGTCAGAAATCAAAAGGTATGTTAGGTATGCGAGGTATGTATGTCTGTTGGACAAAAGGTGGTCCGCATAGCCCCGCCACTATTTGTTCATATGGATGGATGTTTTATTCAGCCACACGAGTGACAGGTGAATCTGACTCTTTTCTCAGCTGGACAAGGGGGGTTGGGTGAAAATTATATAATATTACTATTTTCATACGAGCATTTATATAAAGGTGTATATATATCTATCTTGAGTAGTTCTTCTTAATCAATCTCGTTCTTTTTCTAGTGATGGTAATGTCTTACTATTATCGACCTATCTGGGTACCTAGGAAGATAGAGGAAACTACAAACATCTAAAAGCCCCTGCATTCCGCATCCATGGATATATAAGACCTGTGGCTTAGATTTTTGGTGGCCGATTTGTATGGAAAATCAACTTTCCCATCATCGTGAATTTATCACCCAAATTGGTGAAAAACCCACAACATTCTAGTTTAGATAGGCAAGTGCTGCACTACTAGATGGGTACACAGGTAAATAGCAGCTAATTTATGGATTTATTGAGTCAGTAAATATATTCTTTCCTCTAGTTATACTTCTTTCTTCCTCTGCAGTGATCTCGAGTTTGTTCTGTCGTTCAATTAATCAACCCTTTCATTATGTCCGCTGTACATCCAGATGCGAATCTCTTTCCACATGCCACTGGCTTGGCCGCCGAGATGGTTAAAAAACATTCTAAAGAAGAGCCAGTTAAGCTCTATGCTGGATGGGTATGCATTCTCCCATCCCCTCCCCATTCCCATTCCCACAACCTCGCACTCACTCACTCCACCCACCAGTTCTGTCCCTTCACCCAACGCGTGCTTCTCCTCCTCCTCGAAAAACGCATCCCCTTCCAATACATCGAAGTGAACCCATACCAAAAACCCCTCTCCCTCCTCAAACTCAATCCCCGCGGTCTGATCCCCACCCTCTCCTACGAAGGCAAAGCCCTCTACGAAAGCACAATCATATGCGAGTTTCTCGAAGACGCCTATCCATCTCACTACCCTCGCTTACTCACTCGCGAACCCTTCGAGAGAGCCAGATTGAAGATTTGGACCGATCACATTACATCACGTGTTGTACCGGCTTTCAATCGCTTTCTTCAGTATCAATCGGCTTCAGTGAAGGATACTAGGTTTGTGTCGATTCGTAATAGGTTCCTAACCTCGCTCTATGAGTTCACTCAGGAAATGCATCCCGTTGGACCTTATTTCGCAGGCAAAGAACCGTGTATAGTAGATTATATTCTAGCGCCCTGGGCACTCCGTATCTGGGTCTTTGATTATTTAAAAGGGGGTCTGCATCTTGAGGAATTAGGAGGATTGAGAGGAAGATGGGAGAAATGGGTTGAGGCGATTGAGGAGAGAAAGAGTATCCAAATGACTTTGAGTGCGACGGAATACTACTTACCGATTTATGAGAGATATGCGGATGATGCTCCACAGGTGGAAATTGGGAAGTCAACAGGAGAGGAAGGTGCAGTGTTTTGAATGGATGAGGAGAGAAAATGACAATAGATTTCTAATTCTAGACTGTCTGTTTTGACATCTGTTTCTATTACAACAAATTATGTACAATATGAATACTCTTTGCTTCTATTTCCGCTTACTTTGCCCCTTGTATATACGCGCAGCGTATTAAGTACCAATTTTTTTATCAAAATAAATTATTAACTCGAATGAACATTCTCCAATTCAGGGGATCGCTCTTCCCTTTCTCCCTGACTCTTCACCACGCTTTCAGATTGATTTCTAAGACTGATTACCGCCCGATCCTTCACTTTGTCCCCCATTCGAAGGTCCATTCGATGGTCCTGATGAACCACTCCCGCTCGCCTCCCCACTAGGTTCCCCAGAGCTAGAACCATTCGAACCACTAGATCCATTATCCCCCTGTCCATTCGACGGTCCCGATGACCCATTCCCACTCGAGCCGCTATTCCCCGGTCCACTACTACCCGGTCCAGTCGACGAAGGAGGCGGCGATCCAGAAGGTGATCCAGGAGGCGCTCCCCCAGTGTTACTAGGTCCATTCAAGGGAGTAGGTGCAGGAGACGGTTTATTTCCATTCCCATTTCCTTTCCCATTGCCCTTTCCATTCGAACCGCTGTTACCTGGTCCAGTACTATTTGATGCATTTGCAGCAGGAGGTCCAGGAGCCGGTTTATTCCCTTCCGAACCACTATTACCCGGTCCAGTACTATTTGATGCATTTGGAGAAAGAGGTGCAGGAGGCGGTTTATTCCCCTTGCCATTCGAACCGCTATTTCCCGGTCCAGTACTATTTGATGCATTCGCAGTAGGAGGTCCAGGAGCCGGTTTATTTCCTTTCCCATTTCCTTTCGAACCACTATTTCCCGGTTCAGTACTATTTGATGCATTCGCAGTAGGAGGTCTAGGAGCCGGTTTTTTTCCATTTCCATTTTCCTTTCCGTTCGAGCCACTATTCCCCGGTTCACTCGAAGGAGCCGGTGATCCAGAAGGTGATCCAGGATCTACTCCCCCGCTATTACTTGTTCCACTCGAAGGCGATGGTCCAGCAGGAGGTTTATTCCCACTTCCATTACTCGATTCTTCCGACTGTCCATTAGGAGGCTGTCCCGAAGCTTCATCATTTTCTCTCGAGATTACTGTTGTTTTTGAGACTGGGAGTGCGAATCTATATTTTGTTAGTTTTTTGCTCTTCTCTTTTTTATACATTCTATCTTCTTCTGGCTATATCCCGTGCTTTTGAACACAAATACAGACACAAAAATAGATACAGAAGAAAAAAAGATTTACACACCCATCAACCCTTCTCTGCTTCTCAAACGAAGGAGCACCATCCTCCTCAAAAGATTTCCCATAAATCACGAATGGTGCTCGAGCTACGAGATTCTTGGATACAGATGTAGACGTTAATTTGAGTGACCCCGAGGTCCCGACAGGAGCAGGAGCAGCGAGGACGCAACTGGCGAATGCGACCAGCGCGTAAGTGTAGAGGATTTGGGTATGCATCTTTGAGTGATTAGGAGTATATCCGTAAGTTTTGTGAAAAAGGGGGGTGAAATATTAGGTTCGGTTATGGATGAATGTAGATGAGAGTATCAAGTAGATGGAATTGAACCTGTCAACTGTATATAGAGTATTACGAGAAATGAAAAAATAAAAAATACGAAAGAAATTAGAGCACACAAATGTGTCAAGAAACTAGAGCAAGACGAAAGAAAAAACAGATAAAGAGTTGGGGTGAACGATATAATGTATATATACACAAAAACTAACATAGATCATACCACCCTCTCGGTGCCAAAAGCAAGTATCACCTAATACACAAAGTCCACATCCTCAACAAGAAACATCAGACTATCATGAATCGCACAAATTCACGTCAAACAATTTGGCACACGACTTCTCGAGTCAATGTTCAGTGCGTATCCGATATCTGATATCCGATATCTGATATTTTGCTACAAGTTACAAAATCATCAACACAAACCCGTACATCCCTCACAAGCGTTAATACTCCGCCTTACACTAAACACCCATCTATCATCTATCATCTACCCTCTCCCCAATCCCCAATCCTCGCCCCAAACTACCCCCAAAACCACAAACTCACCACCATAAAACATCTCACGCATCATCAATTACCGTATCCCCCCAAAGATTTTCCATCTTCTCAAAACATCCTCCTCCTTGCCATCATCATCATCATTAGTATCTACCCACCTACTCACCCAACCCATAACACGCCAAGCTCTGGAGACTCCATCCAAATCAAAAGACGTCACACGTCACACGAAACGAACCAGGAGGGGAAGATTAAGCTTAACTTTCAAAATGCATATACGAACACGAACATATCATATCACATCCTACCATGAAAAATCTCCATTCTCGTGCCACAAAACTTCACGGCAGAATATTTGACTAGGATTTATCATTTAAGTCTTCAGAGGCTTCCCTTGGTTGATGTGCCAATTAAAAAGTAGACAGAGACGGTACAGATCAAAGCAGAATACTCTCAAAACAACCAATTATTAAGTATAATTCACCTCTTCCCTTTTCCCTTCTTTTTCGACCCCGAGAAAATACACCATAACTTTTTGATATCATCCTCACTTACACCTCTACCTTCACAAATTCTTCACAAATTTTTCACAGACCACTCATCCCGCTCCTCAACCAAGCCCCCTTCCATGCTTGACTATACTAGTAGCCACTGCAGTATAACCCTCTTCTCACAAAATCCAAAAGTCACAGACTCACAAATTCACATCCTCCAAGCCCCCTTTTACCCGGCAAATCCCTACCCGAATTTTCCTTTCAATTTCCCCTCCTAAACCTCAAACCTCAAACTCCAAGCCCCAAACCTCAGTCCCTTGAACCTTCCCTCCACAGCACAGCCCAACACAACCACATTGTAATTCACAAACATTTCTCACACGAGTCTCGTCGAAACAAGCTTGATTCACATTCCCCTTTCAGTCCGTGCATAAGAGCGCATCCGTGCGCGTGTGCAGATCTCTAAGGCTCCCTACTCCCTGTCGTTTCGCAAGTTTCAACATTCTCGAGGAACTTCTCGGAATCTGGCTGTGGAGTTATTAACCATGTTGTGATTTCTTGTCCTTGCAACTGGATTGAGCAAAACACAAAGACCGCGTTCGGAACTCAACCATAAAACACTCCATGTGTCAACTTCAAATCACAAACAAACATCATCAGCAAGAATCCGGACACATCACACTTTATCTCCCTCCAGATAAATTGATCAATTAAATATGATATAATATCGCTATGAACCTCTCTCCTATAGGCTCCCCTACGCCCTTCCTAATATATCCATAGCCACGAATACGTGACCACGTAAACGAATTTCTGTCAAAGTAAAATGAAAAAGATATTAACATCTCGATGCTTAGCTATGCATGCCTATCCACCTATTTTACAACGAGAAAAACATTGATAGCCGGGGTAAAGTGTACATTTGTTTATTATCAACTTAGAATCCAAATGGATTTTGAGGAGCTGTGTTGCATTAGTGTTTGAGATTGATGGAGACATAGAGATGAACTTACTGGCTTGTGAGAGGTTCGCGCGTCTGCCAGTGGGTTGTGGCGCGATGTTGTTGGTGCCATTAAGTCCAAAACGAACTGGAAATTACATTAGTTGCAGGTTCATATGATAGTATGGTAAAAGAACAAAATTACCTGGTGGTGCTGGCCCGGTCGCTTGAGGGATTAAGGGAGATGGATGTTGCTGTGGCGCAGGTGGAGCCGGTGGTGCAGAGAAATTCTGGCCACCAAAACTGGTTGTTCCATTCATCATGCCTGTTTGCTGAGGTTGCATGGCAGGAGGCAAGAATGAGTTTACACCGGTAGGTTGAGGGAATTGTTGCCCAGTAGGGAATGCACTCTGGAAGCCTGTAACTTGAGGTTGAAGTGGTTGTGGTTGGAATGGCTGTATTGAAGGGTTCGAAAATGGTGTACCTGTCTGATTCGGTATGAATTGCTGAGGAGTGCCTGTTTGCATGGGAAATTGTTGGAAGTTGTTAGGTGCTCCAGGATTGAATTGATTGAATCCGGTAGGTTGTTGCATCATGCCAGTTTGCTGTTGCATAAACTGTTGTTGTTGTTGTTGTTGTTGTTGTTGTTGTTGTTGTTGTTGTTGTTGTTGCATTTGCTGTTGCTGCTGTTGCATGCGTTGTTGATTGAGGTCATGCAGACTTTGTCCAGGAGGAGCAATTTGAGGTTGGAAAGCTCCATACCCAGTTGCTTGAGCTTGAAGTGGAGGTGGGGCGTAAGCAGTCACAGCTTGAGGAGCTGATAAAGGTCGCGAAGGAGGAAGTGGTGGTATCAGAGTCGTATTTGCTCCCATTTGAGGGGGTCCAGGACGTTGGCGCGCCAAATTTGCTGGGAATAAAGGCCCAGAAGGCGCAGGTTGCTGTTGAGGGAGTCCAGTTTGTTGGTTTCCAATTCCAGCAAATATTGAAGGAGTGACAGGAGGTGGGCCTTGAGGTTGCGGTGTTGTTTGAGCAGTCGGCTGTGCTTTTACTGGCTCAAGGGGAGTGGACAACAGCGAAAGTTCTTGCATCGAGCCAGTAATAGCTGGCTGCTGTGGAGCGGGAGCTGGAGCCGGTGTGGACTCGACAGGCGCACTGCTTGTGACTTCTTGCTTTGATGGTTTGACATCCCATGCATCATCATCAAACCCTCCTCGCTTGACGTCCTTTCCTGCTGGAGTTGGAGCAGTTGCAAGGGGCGTGGCGACACCTTGAGGGGATGACTTATCGGTGCCATTTTGCGAAAAGGCGTTTGCATCCACCACATCATTAGTTTGTACAGCAGGAGCGGGGCGACCCTTTCGAGTATTATTTTTTAATGTACCACCGGGTCCAGAGAAGAGGCCAGCTTCACCCTCATCCTCACCGAGGCTGATGTTTCGCTTCCCATCTTTCCGCATGTATTTCTTGTCTATGAATCTTATTATTTTAATGATATCCCCCTCGCGAATTCCAAGGGTCCGAAGTACAGTGGCATCAATGTCAGGCAAAACACTCTCATCCATAGAATCTCGCTTGAATGCCTGTGCATATCTTTCACAAAGACCCACAGCAACGTCGCAAGAGAGAAAGAATTGGAACCAGTCATACTCTGGACGTTCAATGCTTGCGCCGACGCTTGCACCGTTGCTCGGCTGTCTTTCAGCTGCTCGTGACTTTTGCTGCTTTTTGATGTCTGATAGCGGCTTGTCTTCATCCAAGGATATACCCGTCATTCTTTCAACATATTCAAGATCTTCAACCGACATCTTGACAACTGGGACAGCAATTTTCACGCCGTTCATTTTGTGAAGATTTATCTTACCGTCTTTCAGCGCTAAAAATTGTGCCTCAACACTGAAGGACTTCGAGCGGTCCGTCCAGGTTCTTACTTTGGCAGGATCAGGTTCTATGGATTGTTAGCAACAATGCATTGCGCTGAATTGAAATGTTACTTACTGGATTTCGAAGATTTCGAAGAGCTATTTTCTCGGCCATTATCTCGTCTCTTCTGTTGCCCAGATTGGTTACCATTGTCACGAGCATATAGACTGCTACCCCGTTCGGGTAGTCGCATTCCAGGGCCTACCTCAACCTCGTCTCTATTCGCTGTCTTCAGGGCCTCCCTTGCTAGTCGCGCTTCCTCGAGTCTATTTTGTTCAACGGTTGATCGCCCCGCGTTTATTCCAGCCGAACTTTGTGGTTGCACTGTACCAACAACTTCGATGTAACTACTTGGAACAACCCCTTCTTTCGCATTCTTGACTCTCCGTACCATCCACCATTCCTCACTTTTTATATCGTCAATTATAACAACTTCATCTCCAACATTTACATCCACTTCATCCTCTCCTTGTGCCACAAAATCGTAGAGAACTTGTCCTCTCTTCTGACCAGATCCAGATCCTGCTGCAATAACTTCTCTCAATCCTTCTGCACGAACAGCACCTGCAAGTTCTCCCAAGGCACTCACAATCTCCGTCGCGGTGTCTTTAGCCCCGGCGTGGAAATCAATACTCTTGGTGGGTCGTACTAGTTCCATGAAAACATGCTTGCCTTCCAATGAATAATGCGTCATTTTCTCTGCTGTCCAAGTTTGTTCTGGTCCATCTCGGGCTTGCTCCGGGGCGATCAAAATTGTACCTGTAGCGATGTTGATACCTAGAGTTGTAGGCATTTTCTTCTTTTTGCCCATTACGTGTACCATCTCGCTGATGTTATACATGTGAAATCCACCTGGCACACGACTCGCTCTAGACTCATCTGGGGTATCGACGCCCATTGTGGCGAAAGATACTCTATTATAAGGAGGGGATGCGGTGACACCAGTGGGAGATGCAGGAAGCCTTGGAGAGTAATGCCGGGAAGGCTCTCGATCCCGCTCTCGACTAGGCTGGGGTACAGATACTTGCGATACTGGCCTCGCAGGCAATGTAGGTGTGGGTAGTTCTTCATCGGAGGCTTCGGGGGTGAATTCTGGTGGGGCTCGAGCTGCTGGAGCGGACGATTTCCTCTGCTGAGTCTGATGTAATATACCTGCGATTGCAGCAGCCGGGGTCGCAACTACTGGGGATTCGGGCGACTGAGGTGATAGAGGAGACTCGGGCGCCTCCGGTACTTCTTCTTCTACTGCAGCTGGTGGTGGTCTTGGTCGGCTTGGAAGACTTGGAGCAGGTGCTTCTTTGGGCTCTTCTAAGTTCTCGGACAATTCAATATAGTTTGCAGGTACAAAGCCATACTCTCCCTCGAAGCCGACCAAGATCCAGTCCGGATCTGATGTGTCGAAAACCTCGAGTTGTGCATCTTCCGTGAATGATAGTTCCTCGTCTGTCTGTCTCGTGTAATCGTAGAGAGCTCTAGCTTTGCTAGATGGTACTGCCTATAGAGATAGAAGTTAATATTTGCTGCACTATCGCTAATAAACTAAGTATGTTCATATTGTCATATGAACGGGTGTGTTAATCCCCCTATTGCCATCGTCATAAATCGCAGATCCAAATTGAATATCCATACCTCCTGGATGTAGTTGCTTGGGATTAATCCCACGGGTTCATCCTCATCGTCTGCAGAGGCCTTCTTCTTTGCTTTCCACCAGTCGTCTTCTGTGCTCTTCTCTAGCACATAGAGGATATCACCTTCGTTGATAGTAAGTTCTCCCTCACCTGCCGGAACGTAATCATATACTGCGGTATAAACACCCAGGAAACCCATCTTGTATAACTCGCCTGGAAGGTTGCTATGAGGGGAATAACCTCCTGCTCGGTTTCGGAATTGTTATTGTACTGCGAAGTGGTCTAAAGACTGCCCCATGTAATTTCGGGAATTCAGTCGTTCCAAGTTCGCGATGCCGGATTGACCCAGATATGGATGAGCTTGCCGCTTTGAACAAATGACAAAGTTGTATTGGGTTATTGGGCTGTTGAAGTCGATGGTCTATGTATGCCGAATGATTAAATGATACCGAAGCAAATGAATATTCTAAGATCTTAGGAGCAATACCTAGGAAGCTTCAACAATTGAGTGTAGACACGGATTGGTTATTGTGAGGTGAGTTGATAGGAAATGATGTTGCGTAGTTGGTCTGAAGAGCTTTCCGTATCTAGGGTCACATCTAGATGCTAATGCTAATACTCGAGTAAGTTCAAGTTGTTTAATGTAAATCCTAGCGTTCGTTCGCTCTGCATGACAACTCCAGCTCTTGAAACATTTTAGAGTGCAGACATCTAATCTAATTCACCAGTTATTGCGCGAGTATAAATCAGGACAAACTTATCTCATTCATATTGAAGAACACTACTACTCATCTTTTGTATTCACCAGTTCCCCAGTCATCGGGATAAAAAGACGTGGTTGAGTTGCATCCACCAGCTACGTCAGTCAGCATGGTATGGATGGAACGATACTGTAGGTCAGGCATTGGCATGTCAAGATTCATGCATTAACTCTTGGGATGTTATATATGTCCCGATGGATGATCAAGCATAAACTGTATCATGAGTAACTTTTACTGGGGTATGAACACACATTGAACGCACCTGCTAACAACTTGGAAGTCTCGAAGTCAATAAAATGAGTGTGGCTTTCATAACTTCGTTCGTTCGAGAAGACAACATCCGATGAACTATTGTTTGCAGAGTTGAGCTGATATAGGCGTTGTGAAGTTGGCCCTCGTTAGACGATTCTCCGCTGTGAATATCCATTCTCTTTTGGTCAAAGAAATAGTACTCGTCGATGCGAAAACCATTTCTCGTGCGAGATCCTTTGAGAAGCTACATGTTCAACGTATATATAGCTAGATACTGCATGAATTTTTTCAAAATACGGGAGGCGTTGAGCTGGTGAAGTCTTCATTCAAGCCACCCGACGTTACATTCTCAGATTCTAATAAGTATACCTAAAGTTCATGGTCCTCTCTAGTAAGACCATCCCCTTTCTCTGTCGGCCGTTGGCATACCAAAAATACATTGAGAAAATGCCAACAATGGCAATAATGAAAATTTGAGAGCCAATGCTGACCCAAATAGCTGTCAAATATCGAGGCGCCTCATTATATCTGATAATGAATGCACCTGCAATTCCTCCGAGCCCATTGCAGGCAGTTCCGGCAGCCGCAAAGGTTGCTCTTTTCCACTGTCCGACAATATTTGATGATTGGTATGCATTCATTGCTGCCCAGTTCGACACATAACCTCCTGTCGCTAAATATGTTCCAATATATCGAGCTGTGTCTTGACTAGCGAATCCCAACATGCAGAAACCCACAATGGTACAGATGGAATTGAAAATTATGACCAAGCCTCGAAGTTGATAGCGATCACCAACTATTGAGGAGATAATGACGGGAATCACAGCATAGAAATATGGTGGTGCTGATAACATGATGGAACTGTCCTCAGAAAATCCCATTCCAGTTTTCAGAATGATGGGTAGAAAGTAAGACATGCCTTTGGTTGGAGTTAGCGTATTAGTTCCAATGGTGTGCCTGGTGATTAGTACTTACTGGTCGATACCAGGTTTAAGCAAAAGAGCAAAGCACAGAAACCATAGATCTTTGGATCTAGGAAATGGATAATACATTTTCCCAATGAAAACTCCTCGGCCTTCACGTCTCCTCTATCATCAGAAATTTTCGTCAGTGCCAGATTTTGCTCACCGGCCGTCAAGAAACGAAAACTTTTATGAGCATTTTCTGGAAAATCTACCATCCAGAAATAGGTTACACATCCCACAACTATCAACAAATTAGCTCTCGACACCGGGCCATGAACCTGAGCAACTTACCTATAGCAAGCAAACCTTGCACTAGGAACATCCACCTCCAGCCGGCCAAGCCCCCTTTATCATTCAGATGATTTACGCCATAGTTGAGGAAAATTCCCAGACCCACAACGATAACCTCGCCCGTCTGCAAAAAAGCGAAACGAAGTTGTTGTTCTTTTCTGGTGTACCAAGTTGAAATAAGATAGCTCAATCCTGGAAAGATCGCAGATTGGGCAATTCCCAGGAGTAGACGAAGGGCTACCATCTGTTGCCAGGTATTGATGAAAGCTGTGCACTTCGCCATGCCATTAGAATTTCCTCCTTCAAATCAAGTCTGGGATTGACTCAGAGTCTTTCATACCAAGGTTATAATGCCAAACCCAATCGTAATCAACGAGAAGACGAATCTTGGTCCACACATCCTCACACACAGTGTAGCTGGCAGCTGAAATGCTACACTTGACACTGTGTAAACTAAGATTGACACAGACTACAGTGTATAAGATCAACATGCAAGAACAAGATCAATTGACGGGATACAAGAACTTACATATCTGTTTCCAACCCCCAAACCCAAATCCATAAAGAAATCATCTGCGACACTGGCCGAACTAATGATTCCCGAATCCATCAAATTCAAACTACATAATATTCCAGCGATCGTACACAATCTCCAATCTACCTTCCTCACCAATCTCCTTTCCAAATTCTTTCTGGAAGCTTCATCGATGTCAAGATCTTGATTTTGACATTCGATGGGGGTAGCATATGCTGTTTTTCCATCGTCATAATCAGAAGAATGGTGAGGCGAAGAAGCTGCTGCAAAATCGGGGGAGCCCATCGTTGATCAAATCTCACGCCGTTCCTCGTAAATTCCACACACACACGGAAACAATACGTCAAACAACAACTATACCAACTCGCTCACAATTTCAAAAACTCAAAAACGTGGAATTTTTTCGACAATACCGGATAATTGTAAATCAACATCTAATCCAATAAAAAATTGACTCATAGATAAATAAGCCGGATATATACATTTCTAAGTACCCAGGTCGTTCTTACAAAGCATTTGTGCATCCGCTGCAGATTGACTAGATAACGCAGGTCCCCATGTACACTTTGTGCGGGGATTCTACGGATTCGGAGCTACAAGGTATGGATGGGAGTTCGGGTCCGCGGGATGAGATTTTTAGATTCCATGCGGATTTATTGTGATTACTTACATGGGACTACAAATTGTTTGTAGAGGTGTTCGTTCTGAGAATGAATATTTCGAGGGACAACTAGAGGACAAGAACAAGGGCAAAGTAGGTTGTAGAAGATATAAATTACAACCTTACTTTGGGGGAAGGTGGGTTACCGAAGTTCTCGGATAAAATTATGAGATATTGTCAATCTTTTCCTACTTGGCACTTCCAGAATATTCACCCACTATTGTCATTGCAGCAAACTCTTGGATCTTCGAATTTATGTTACTTGCGATTTCCCCCCCCCCTTTTTTTATAGATAGATTCCAGTTAATACTCCTTTATCGCTTCAAAAGGGGCAGTATAATATAGTGTGCATTTATTTGTCTTTGGTCACCATACTATCGTACCTGCCTGCAGCTCAACACGCCCTTCATACATCTCAGATCTCAAACACATCATTACGAAATGACTAGCACCATACTCGAGTACATGTCACTCCGTAGAGATCTTTAACTGAATATTTAGAACATGAGATTCTGATTGAATCCAACCATATACAATCCATCAAACCCGACAGAGCTCCCTTACTTCTCTTCATTTGACAACGAACCAGATTCCGAGGTAGCACGTCTATCTGGTATCCAATTGCTGTTTGCTTTCATCACTCCAAACATGCTATTTCTTGATAGAGATATCGCGAGAGTGAATCTAGTGTCCGCCTGCCAATCTCATTCAAGTCAAGTTTGACTTTTTTGTACCTTCAACACCACACAGGGTTGGCTGTACAGTGTACAGGGTTCTCACAACCAAACTGAGTCTGTGATAATAATGGGTGCTTTTTCCATTACTATTCTTGCGCTCTTTGTATCCTGCAGTTCTATTGTCTCTTCATCCATGTATTCATTCCCAATACTCGCAATGCCATAGCTATACCTTTCTCCGCATCTCCTTGGTGTTAGCGCCTGTTTAAATGTAGAAGCACAAAGTTTGGAAGATGGTTTTTATTATTCAGATTCGTGGACTTGAATTTTGTCATGTAGTTACACAGAAGCCATGAATTACCCAATGAATATCGTTACGCGTTCTGGTCGAATTGACGGCTCGAATGGCTGAGACTGTTGAGATAGCGAAGCACATTTCATGGTTGCGTTCCGAAATTGGCCTATGACTTCGAACTGCTTCTTGTTTCGTATAGGATCGTATAGGAGATTTATGATGGTATATATGATATAATACATAACTACAATTCTTGATAATATACATTAACATTTCCACCCTCTTTATTCTAGAGCATCCATCGCACAAAATGAGCGCCAGAATCATTAATCCTGATATTTTTCTCGTCAAAATACTTAATCTTGAATTCTGTAATCCCCACCCCCGCAAAACAGGATGAGTACATAACTTTACATCTCAAATTTGCATCAGGAGTTCCTTTAGCTACAACAGTAATTCGATTCGCATCTGTCTGTTCCTCGGAGATGCCGTGGTTGAAATCAAGAATATAACATATTTTGTCAGCTGCTAATCCACTTTTTAGATCAACACTCCAAATCTCGATTCGATTTGCGCTTTCGCGGAGGCAGTAGATTGATCGGGGGATGGAAAGGATAGACTTTTCGCACTGTGTGATAAAGAGATACACGAGATCGGAAGTTGTATCTGTTGGGTATCGGGGATGGAATGAGCTCGAGCTCGAGCTTTTGTGTGAGAATTCATCAAGTTCGGTTTTTGTATTGGAATCTTTCCAGTTTCCTTACAGACCATGGAAAGTAGATTTAGCGAAGACAGCTTTCCCGTCCCGGGAATCTTGGAGTGTTTTTTGTAGTTTGTGCATGGCTTTTTCGGATTCGGTTATGTTGCACTGTGAGTCGATGTAGTGAGCTGGACTCACCATTCCTTCTCTTTCGTCCCATGATAGGTTTATTTTCTGAAGCCCTAGTTTCCGAGAGTTTTCTTCCGTTAATTCGGGTAATTCGGGGTAATCACTGAAGATACTTCGGGGGATGGATGAGGGATCTATCCATCGTGATCCTCAGCTCTTCCATAAAAGCGCAGAATTTCGAGGAATCCTCTTCTTCCGTTTCATCATGAGAAAAATCAGGAGATGAAAGCTCAATACTTTGCTCCCCCCATTTCCTCGTAATCACACGCGCTCGACTGTCTAAAACTCCCCAATACGATCCGGCGAAACATCCCATGAGTGCTAAGTTGCTAGGTGAGTCTCGAGAACTGCTCATACAATCTTCACTTAGGAGTAAAGGAAGACAAGCATATGAAGCATTGTAGCCTAAACTTTCTTTAATCCCTTCTGGGAGGAAATTCAGCGCGGGAGAGGTGGAAAATCCAGTAGCGTATACGACGGCTGCGATTTCTTCTATTTTTATTGGCTTGCATTGCATTTCAATGGTTGCGAGCATTGAATTTGTGTCATGTGTTAGATATTGTTTTATGGAGAAACGACGGGAGTGACTTACACATTGTCTTAGCTGAGTGATTCGACCAAAACCTTGTTTAATCGCACCAGACCTAATGAATTCCGCATACTTATCCCCCACAACCGCATAAGGAGCCCCCAAATCAACTTTCTCGCTCTTTTGCGATCCATCGTCATTTACATCCACTGTCCCAGAAATAAGCATACCAAGCGTATCCCTCAAATTTTTCCTCTTCTCCGCATTCGAAAGTCAAAAAGTAAATGAAATTGGTCTATCTGATCGCGAAGAGAGATCATAGAGACGCGAATCTAATTGCGCGAATGAAGGAAGTTTTTCATTTCCGCTGCGGACAAATGATGGGATGGGACTGAGGGGGTGAGGTATCCCAACTTTGAAGCCCAAACATATCCAAGTCTTTCATGATGCAAGTCGCGTTCGTAATCGGCCTGTTTGCCACTGCCCCGACCGTTTTAGGTGCTCCTATCTTGACTAAAGGTACATGTCTGCCGGCTATTACTGGATTGAAGTCGTCAACGCGTTGCTAACACATTAAAGACGAGGCTGCACCTGCTCAACTTAAAAGTAGAATTCCCGTTCCAAGCGAGCAAGTTTCGAGTATGATTTTGGCTTACAACGACGATTTGTCTGTGCCGGAATCGGCAGATGTAAACCTTAGGGCGGCTGTTGCGAGCGACACGGTTTTGAGTATGATTCTTGCCTATAATAACCATTTGTCCGATGCAGATAAATAGATTTCGACGATCCATAGAGTGAGATGAGTGGAGGCAGGGCGAAATTTGCGATTGATTGGTTGTTTATGGTTAGATTTGAGTTGGTTGAATGCTTCGGCAAAATCATTATGATCTTGATTTGTAATCTAGAACTTTGCGGTACACATCACACCATATATGGTCTTTCTAATATATCCAGCAAACTGTTAAGAGTATCCATGGATGTTCAATAGTTTCGGGGCGAAAGGAAACATTTTGCTTTTCTGTCAGAAAATCTCCGTAGCACATTCTTATCTTCTTTTTTCTTCACTATACTCATTTTGTTCAAAGGCTCAATGGCAACTATTAGCCATGGCACCGCCCTACCCAGAGCTCAAGTGATAGGCCGTTCTTGGCCGGCTTTTCTTGACGCATCAAGATGGCCAGTGGATATTCTCCAGCTTGTGGGAATTGCAGCAGCAATTGGTGTTGGGACAGCACGGCCACTAATGCCCTTGATTTTTGTAGGTTTAGCCAACAAATTTAATAATTTCCAAGATGCTTCTGCTTTGAAAGAAACCGTTGATTATGAAGTTCTGCGCTTATTATTGTATCTTTCTTTTTGGACAATGGATTATTACCTGCGCTAATGGTATCTTACTATCAATATCTGCAATGAATCGTTTCAGGAGACTCAGAGCATCGTATCTGAAGTCAGGTATCCATCAAGATACGGGACTAGTGAGCTAAGGAAAAGTCGCCGAGAGTTTTGCCATGAGCATCAATAGTATGGAGGATACATTGGCTGAAAAGCTTGGATTTGTTATGCAAGTAGGTTCAACTGTCATTGTTTCTCTGACCATTGCCTTTGTACACAGCTGGCAGCTTACTTTGGTTCTTTTCTCTACAATTGTGTTTTTGTTCATCAGTAACTCTGGTACCGCTGCTCTGGATATACGCTTCGAGCAGAAAATTCAGCAAGTTGAGGAAAGCGCGGCGGATTTGGCGGAAGAAGTGTTTAACAGTATACGTATGGTCATGGCCTGTGTCGCGGAATCGAAGCTTGGTTGATGACTATACCGCAATCCTCGAAGCTGCCACGCTGAAAAAATGTAGAAGAGTCCCATGCTTGCAGTGCAGTATCCCATAAGCTGATTTGCTCTGCTCTCTTCGTATGCTCTTGCATTCTTGTATGGAACGATTTTGTTAGACCGGGGGAAGATTTCAAGCGGCGAGAGTAGCCTCGATAAATCTGAATAAAGTATTTAACAGTACGCCAACTATCAATTCCCTCAGCAGTGGCGATGTAAAACTCGAAAGTATTGAGAGCGAGATTAGATTGCATGATATCTCTTACTTTGGTCTCTCCAGGTCTTCTGTTAATGTTCAAGTTGATCGCTTAAATATCCGCTTTGAGGCCGGTAAGATGACAGCTCTTTTTGGCACCAGTGGCTTTGGAGAAAGTACTATTGTTGGTTTGATTGAGAAATGGTATGAGCTTGCACAAGGCACCGTCTCAATTGATGGATTCGCTATTAATGAGCTGAATGCGAAATCATTGTAGGGCAAGATTGAACTGGTGCGGATCGTAGAGACAGCGATTAAAAAGGTCTCAATAAGTATGACGAGTATCATCATAACACACAAACTATCCCTTGTTCAAAAAGCGGACCAGAATATCTTGTTAAAAAATGGAACTGTGCTTGAAAGTGGCTCACATCAATCTTGACTGGCAAGGAACGGTAAATATGCTCAGCTTGATGAGGCACAACGGCTCGACGAGACAATTCAATACACCGATCAGCGGCTTGAAAAATCTGAAATTTAAGAAGAAAACAAAGTCGATGCCACAGGATTGCAACTTGACACGATGGCGCAACCCATGAGAGCTTTTGACGGCATATCTCCGCCAAGGTCTTCATTATTTTGATCTTTATGGCCAAGCTTACTGGATCATAGAGCACTCATACGACGCTTGGTAGCGGTGGTATCTAAATGTGTGATTACAGGTGGCGTATACCTAGCCCAAGCAATTCTGTTTGGACACAGTGTTTCAAGGCTTGGAAAATTTGACTCTAACATTCAGAGGACGGAAAACTTTTGTCTCTCATGTGTTTTGTAGTTGCTATCAGAGTCTCTATCACGTTCTTCTTAATGGGTACCATTTCGTCGATAATGGGAATTACCACAAAGTTCTATTACCAAATTAAGTATTTCAAATCCATGAATACGGCAAGATCCTTCTTTCTTTGACAAGGACCAAAATTCGACAGGAACTCTTGTAGCATCTCTCTCATTGCATACGAACCACATTCAGATCTTGTTTACAGTTCTGGGTCTCTTTTAGTTGCCTTTGTAAATTTAACATCGTGCAGCATTTTGGCGCTAGTAGTCTGATAGCGACTAGCACTGGTGGGGTTGTTTTGTAGTGTGCCAGTTATTCTTTAGGCCGGCTACCTTAGAGTTTGTTCAGCCTCCGCGAAGAGTAGAACTCGTTCTGGACCCCTACTGAGCAGTATGAACAGTGGCAGCGTTGACCATGGAGGACGAGGTATACCTTCAACTCGACAAGAGAATGCGAAAATCTCTTCTGGTCCTTTCCAAGAATAACAATGCCGTTATTTGCCTTTTCTGAGAGTGGAGCTTTTCTTGCTAAATTTATATCTTGATTATATACAATACTGTGATTAACACTTTTTCTATGTACAGCTATGGCCTTAATTTTCTGGCATGGAGGTAACCTACTGGCCGATGTCAAGCTGGAACATGTTGAATTATGGATTGTTGTCTTGGCGATATTGTCCGGTGGAGAGGGTGAAGGTGCAGCTGAGCTCTTTTGCAAGCCCGTGTAGTAAGTGTTTCGACGCATTCAAAAATCAATAACTTATAAAAGTCTAGGTGTGTCCGAAGCGGGCCATTTCATCAACAGAATTCTCGGGTTAAGATCAAGAGTAGCTCCCATATCTGACGGGACCACATCTCAGCAAAAGAATTGAGATGACGAGAAAGTAAGAAAGACTCCAGTCCCTATCGAATTTCAAGGCGTCACATTTAGCTATTCAAACTTTCCACAATATCCAGTTCTGAAAGAAATCGATCTATCAATTAGACCAGACCAAAATCTAGCGATTGTTGGCCCACCAGGCTCTGGAAAGCCCACCATTATTGCCTTGCTCGAGAAGCTTTACACAATCAACAATGGATCCATTCTCATCAATTTATCTTCCTTGAACGAGATTGATACCGGAAACCATCGCAGTCAAACGGGTCTCGTCTCTCAAGACACCACTTTATTCGAGGGCACTCTTCGAGAAAATATTTTTCTTGGTGTTCATGATCTGTCTTCCATTGATGAACGCCTCGAAAACGCTGCAAAAGATGCAAATGTACACGATTTTATCATTTCTCTCCAGAAGGTTACAATACATAACGTGGAGAGAAAAGTTTCGGTTTCAGCGGGGGGCAGAGGCAACGAATTGCACTTGCTTGAGCACTCGTACGCCAACCTAGAATTTTGTTGTTAGATGAGGCGACCAGTGCGCTTGATTCTTTGAGCGAGAAGGAAGTACTCGATGCTTTGAATCGGATGTTGGGTCAGATTACCACGATCACAGTGGCACATAGACTTGCGACCATCAGGAACGCGGATTGTATATTGGTACATGTGAAAGGAAGAATTGTTGAGAGAGGCACACACCTAGAGTTAATGGAGTTGCGAGGGACTTATTGGGCTATGAGTCAGGCACAGGCTTTGGATAAGGATTTGTAAATCTCACAATACTGTTCTATCTTTTTCCATATCACTTATTCTATCAGTATTTAAGTATATGATGGTTCTAAGAACCTTGTAAAAACATGTTTGCTCATCGTACAGGTGAAAGTGTACTGAGCCTCAGACTACAGTTTTCATCTTCTCCTTCAATGATACTAGTAAAGTTCTATTTATGACTCTGCAGCTGAGGGCATGTGCATCTTTGTCCTTATATGACACGATATCAGTGGTGGAAGCTACTTCTCAGTCTTTCAGTCCTACATATATTCCCAACTAGCAGTTTCACTCTCCATATCTCTAAGACATTTTATATATGTATCTGAGGAACTTCAATTAAATGACTGCGAGAGCCATCGATATTATACTTTAGTTTATGTGATTTATTTTTTCGGTTAAGAAAGGGACATCAATATGTCAAACTCCCAGCAAGAATGACTCCAAACTGTACGATACCAACACCATATTCCGAGCGCCTTAATTACATCCACCCTCGATCTAAAGAGAGAAACTCTCATGATATCCTCAGGCTCTCTCCTTCTATGCTGCCAGATCCAAATCATTCTCATGATATTCATCTTTTTATTACGTCATCTATGCTCATACGGATGCATTACATGTGCACAATGACATTTGCATTATGGTCCTTTCTTACCAAAGTATAAATCTGTTTGCACTTAAACTCAAGTTCCAATAATCAAGATAGAAGCTGCGATGATCATTTCTAAGCACAAGCTAAACTCCCATCTACCATAAATTCAATAATCTTCATGACAATTTCTTACGTCAAGTATTGAATTGTGTCAAGATAAGCACGCTTATTTTCGTTTGAAGGGAATTTCTGGCGGATCTTCATATTCTAGAAAATCTCTATATATACCAGATCTCCATACCTAGCAGATCCCCAACCCACTATCTTCCTGTAATGACAAGTATATACTCACTAACAGGCATCTCGAAGCGCACAATCATCACTGGTTGCGCCATTCTTCGGGTGAATCCGTAGGGCTTTCCGAAATTTGACGTACTGAGTTTTGGTATCTTCTGTGAGTCATTCTTGAACGACAGGATAATCTTCATGAATTCCTGTTGAGGTTAGATTTACGGGTGATAATGAAGATCATTGAGTCTTGGGCCGAGTGGTAGGGCTGGATAAAATACTTTAAGGTTTAGGACGGGATTGCCGGCTCCAGCTGTCATTGATTTAGCGTGATGGGCTGCTAGCGTGATTGATTGCTAGCGTGAGTAAATGCTAGCGTCATAGACTCTTAGTACATGGGCAAGATTGAATCATAATAATGTGGGTGCAAACTAACCCCTTCGAATTTTGAATTATGATTGTTGCAAAGGAAATGAATATACCAGATAAATTCAACATCTCATGTTGAGAGAATATTTCAGATTGAATGGATGCCTGTATTGACTACAGTATCTGAGGTGGTTTGAATATTTCACATCAGTACAGTATTTCATAGGGATTCATTGTCTGGAATCCAGTCAGTTTTTCATGTAGGTCAAATGTTCCAGAACAGTACAGAATTTCATAATCATTCGACTTACAAATTAAATTAAGTCTTTTACGTAGATCAAATGTCCCAAAGTAGTTTAGCAATCTATAGGGCTTCGATGTTTAGATTTACTTGAGACTTTTACGTAGATCAAATATTTCAGAACAGGATAGCATCTCATAGGGATTGGATGTCTAGATTAAGTTCAATACTTTTTGTGTATCAAATATTACAGAGCAGTACAGCAAATCATAATATTCAGTATCTCAAGTCAACTCATGTTCTCAGATAAGCTAATTACCCAAGCCAGATCGACAAATTAAACTTTTCTTATGATCTACATCTAGCTTGTAGATCTAGTGCAGGGCTCTAACGATTAGAATTTTCCCCCTAAGTTAGCGACATCATGACTGTTTGCTATGATTGTGCCCCCGTAAGACTCCGAGACTAAAAGGCCTTCAAGGCCAAATTTCTCTATATAAAGAGCTCTTCCCCTTCACTCAATCCTCTTTTCTTCTTCGTACGAAAACGATCAACTCTTTTTACAATCAAACTTTCAAGCTCACAATCAACCATTCAATTTTTTCACTCACACTTTTTCACCATCACCACCACCGATACCACGATGTCTTCCTCCATGGACACATCCATCTTCGACCAATACGCTTCGGTCTACTTCGCCTGGGCCAGGCCCAAGGCCCCAAAACAACATCCAGCTACGTGGCACCATCCCTATCTTCCATCCTTTGATTATCCTAACATTGCAGGTAATCTTTGCGGGTCATCAATCCTCCCAGTAGGATTCAGACCCATGTGGGCTTTCGGGGGCATGAAGGCAGAGCTCGCGGGATGGCTCTGCGAGGTGGACTAATCACCCACCTCTTCTTCTTTTTCTGACACTTTTCTGTCTTTTTTTTCTTCTGCTAACAGAAGATACATATATACCAAAAAAAAAAACGCCATCCCGCACCAAAAAAAAATCAAATTAAGAAACAATCACCAAAAAATTTCCTTTGTTCTTATCGGCGCCTGGAGTTTTTCCTTTTTTTTCCCTTTTTTCTTTTCTTTCCTTTTTTTTGATCTATCTCTCTGGGACTTTTCCTTTCTTTCATACCAAAAACCCTTACAAACAAAAAATCACACCGTGGATTTTCTCCACCAGCGAATCTAATTTATATACCCTTTACTTTTTTTCCTTGGAGCCCCTTGGACTCCCTTAGCGATATTTTTCCACATAACCTTTTTTTTCCTCCATGGACATTTCCGGCTCCATCAGCGATTTTTTCCCACATATCTCCTTTTTTTTTTTCCCCATGGCCCCCTCCGGGGCCATCAGCGCCACTCCCTTTTTTTCAGGACAAGATAAGTATCCCTCCCGCTAATTGCTAATTCGTCAATAGGGCGGCTGGCTTGATCACACCTCCCCGTTGGTGCCAGCTGGAAATTCTCAAATGAGAAGCTAAGTGATCACGAATCGAGCCGACACGACCGAGTATTTTCGACTTTCAGTTTTTTCGTCATTTGTGAGTTTTTCCTCCCTTCTCAATTTTGCCAGTAACCGCGCTAATTATTCACGTATATTCGGTATTCCAGAGCTGGTGAGAAAATCATCATGCCAAGACTCATAGACGAAAATGTGATCCCCCCATCTCTTCAATTTTATTAGAAATCACGCTATTCATTCACGTACATTCCAAAACTGGCGTGAAGAAAAACCATGCCAAGACTCATAGATGCATTTTCTCTGCTCCGAAAGACCAAATTCTATGTCCTCTTATTCGATACGCAGAGAGCTCCTTATTTCACGAATGTGATCTCCCTCAATTCATGAACAAACCCCCCCCCCCTCCCCTCCCGCCTAATATCCAAATCCAATCCCCCAAATCCCAACAAAAAATGACCCTGCCAAGACCCATAGACACATTCTGTATACCAAAAAAAAATCAAATTTCACACCCCTTAAATTCGACATGCCAAGACTCATAGACGCAAATGTGATCCCTCCTAATCTCTCCAAAACCCACCCTAACAACCCCCCCCGCATACCTAAATCCACATCCAACCCCCAAACCCTACAAAACTAACCGAAACACCACCTCCCCAGCATCCTTCCCAGAATCATTCTCCCTTTGCAAAAGCTCAAATCTTTTACACTTCCATCTTCTTTCCTCCACCCCTTCTATCCCTCTATCCACCATCCAAAATCTATAAACTTCTATATTATATTATAATCGCCTACCACCTACCGCCCAAAATCTCAAACTCAAAATCCAAAGTCGCTTTTCCTAATATCCTATATCCTATATTCCACATCCCACATCCCATCCATACACCCTCTCCTTTCAACTCCCAACTCCCAAAGCCCACACAAGAATTCCAGCACCCAAAACACATACTACCACCTAGGACGAATCGACAGAAAAAAAAAAAAAAACCCCCCCCCCTCCTCAAACCTCAAACCCAAATCTCTCGCTCTCTCTCTCTCTCTCTCTCCAACAGAGAAGCAGACTAGAAGAAACAATCAACTTGTAAATCCCTCGCAATCGCATAATGAATTCCTCGTATCCGCTTTTGAAGCGCAGAAGTGGGGCGGAAGGGATTCACTATGATTCCCCCTTTCCAAGGTTCAGATGGACGCTCTATCAACGAGCTAGTTTTTCTTGGATTTTCTCCATCTCACAAGTTACCTGATTCGATGCTTCTGTGCCGAGGAGCTGGGGATTCTTCGAATTGGGATAAGATATTCATGCTAAATATGCGTGACGATACCTGTGTCATTGACCACCTGGTCAAGCCAAAATATGAGAAGATCAGTTGGTTCTCCAGCCAATCGACCATCCCCAGGTATATATCTTTCAATATTACATGGCGGAACAATAGTCCCGTATATATACTATCACCGAAGGATTTGACTGATATAAGATATCGTATATAACCTATCCTTCACTTCTATTCGATCTAATTCATATCCAAGATCTCTGTTCATATTCCTTTATCATCTCCATCTTTCCAGATCCCTGGTTAGTCTCCTCTCTCGAACACCAACGCCAGAATCAATTGTCCTCAGCCCAAAATAATACAAATAAAAGGAACGGCCCTGTTGAAACCTAGAGGCCCCCAAAGAAACACCTTTTCGAAAACCAACCACCAGAAGGTCATGGATGCAGACCACTAGTTAGGTAGTCTCCAAGCGGCATCTCCTCACAATTTTGATTCTGTGCTCGCGGTAACCTCATTTGTCATAACCACATCCGCCGGTTCTACATCAATACTCTTCTCACCATTTCCTTCATCCTTTCCAACCTCGACTTGTTTTCCATCCAATTTTTTATCCGCGACTTCCGATTCCTCTCCCTCATCCAACTTTCCTGTCCCGGCATTATCATAAACACTCAACCAATTCCACCCTCTAACTCCTCCATCCTTTCCAAAGATCTTCAAATCATTATCTGTCTCCTCTTCTCCACTTTCTAATTCCAAATCTTCTTTACAAGTTTTTCCCACTTCTACCCCTCTTTCCCTAAGTAGTTGCATGATTGCTCTAACATTTAATTTCATGATCCTTTCTGGTTCCTCTGCTGCGAATACTTTTTTCGTAACCCATGGGAAAAGAACACCGAAATCTGATTGACTAAGATGCGCACTCGAGGTAGGATAATAAAAATGTGGTTCTGATTTTCCATCACTGGATGGATGATGAGAGGATGGATCGGCAGAAAGAAGTCGTTTGGTAGCGTTGAAATGTTCGGTCCATTTGTGAAAGGCTTGGGATTCGACTGCAAGAATTGCAGAGCCACCAGGTCCAGAGGGAGCGTATGATGGAAGAGGATGATCCCATAGCCAGCGAGTTGCTTGGGAGCGGAGAGGGAAACACCAACAATCTAAAAGTACGATTGGACTGTTCGGTGTGATTTGAGAGCATATGGAAGAATCTGGAGATGGTTCGTAAACCGGTTTGTAAGATTTTGGAGCGGAAGATGCTTCAGGGGCATAAAAGACCGATTTGATGAACTGAACAACTGTTGCTGCTCCAAACGAATGACCTGCAAAAGTGATCTTCCCAGATTCATGGACATTCATTTTGTCTTTGAATATTGTTAACGAAGTCGAAGATGTATTGAGGTTCGTAATTTGCTTTCCTTCATCCAATTTCACTAAACTGTCATGAATCAACCCCATCTCCCAAAGTCGAATCTTCAATTGTTCATTTCTTCCTTCCTCAACTTCAGGACTGGGTGTATGCGACAATTTAACATAGTCAATCGTTTTCTTGACTTGTTTCTTTGCATGTTTTTCTTTATCCGTCGAAGAATCGGATGGCGGTTCTCGAATGTAGGATATAGGGGTTGAACCATCACGATGTTCAGGTGCAATAACTATCATCCCATGGCTCGCCACTGATCCTACAATGTGCGAATACGCGTTTCTTGAACCACCTAACCCATGCGAAAATATCATCACCGGCCAACGATCATTGCTCGTCTTTGGTTGTAGAAGAGGCGCATTTTTGCGAACTGGAATCGTAACGTAATGAAGTAATCTTGGGAAATATCTATCGTGCCCCAAGTATCAGCATTTGCCCCTTGTCCTAAAAATCACCTTAACTTACGAGATAACCTCTGCCAATGTACTGCCAGCTCCCAAAAACCTCGAATATGCACTTATATAATCTCTTTGAGGTGCCGGTATCCAATTCACACTCTTTGCCTTATGTTTTGTTTCGGTTTCGCATGGGTAAAAAATTCGATATTGAATTGTTGGAATATTTCCTGCATTGTTTGGTACTTGGGCTGGGGAATCGAGTTCTGCAATAGGGATTTCGACATCAATTGTTCCTACTTTATGAGGTCCAGTATACTCCGGAAACCCCGGAATTGGACTTAGTCGTGAGAAGTAGGATGTCATTTGTGGTGGTTGTAATGTTGTTTTGTTTGGAGCAAGTGGCAATCGTAGTCGCAAAGGGAGTTTGTTGATATAATGAAGAATGTGGTTAGGAATTGAAGACACTGTTGCGATTTTGGATGAGAAAAGGAATAAGAAAATATGAATCTATTCAGAAATCTATAAATCTAGATATTTGAGCTATGTGATTGAGTTCTATTATGTTAATGTTAATGTGAGCAAAAACTTGGTAAAAATAAATTTATGGGAAAGTTTTAAGCATTATTTTAGAACGGACCGAGGTCTCGTGTGCCCCTTCCCGAAACGTCATAGCGAATGTGGCGTTCAATGGGAGTGGCGTTACGGTAAATTCAGCCACTTGAGAGAATAGGTACCTATTTTTAGAAACAAAATAACCCAACAGTAATAACAGCGTGTATATGTCCAGTTTACAAAGATGATACTATTCGCAAAGACTCCAAAGTTTATCTTAATCTATGAAAGATTGTAAGTCGAGTGTCGTAATTCGCGATATCTACAATTAGATGTCTTAGCTTTTGATTAGTACATAGATAGGCACTTGTCAGATTCGAGCTTATATCGTCTTGAAGAACAAGATAGTTGATCTAATATGTAGGAAGATGTTTGTACCACCATACTTCCCAAAACGATTAGACTCGTGGATACCTGCAGAATAACAAACAAGAGAATAACCGCAAATGTTTGTCTTCGCACTCTCGAATCCATCGAAGAACGCACTCAAAATAACAAAGCACAGCAATAAACTTCGTCGAAAGGTCTGGGACTGTCATTTTGCCTACTGAGCCTTGTACAACCGCGTCTCAATGTAGCAGTACGACTTCAACTCACTCACCCACGCCCAATACAAGCACGAACAAAATTAGCCTCAATCGGTTTAACGCAAAGCTTGACTCTTCCCAAAGCATAGATAATCACGTTGTTGCTGGTTCAGAACAGCACATAAGCGAAGATAATGCCGATCAACTTGCTGCGGAGCCCAAGCGCGTTCAATGTCCAAATGTTCAAATTTTGGACAGAGAGCATACACCTCGGAATGATTCTGATCGGCGTATCGCAAACTACAGCCCTACTCTTCATGACAAAGTCTCCAGAATTGTACTGGCAGATGTTGAGGTTCCTCTTCTCGAGGTTACCGACCACATCAAAAGCTGTGACGTCCCTGATGCTCAGAATCATTTATTCGTATAGGAAAGTAAAAAGGTAGTGATGATGGCAAAGCTTTCGGATGTGGGCCGGGACACGCTTGTGAAAAGCCTTCAGGGGCTTGAGGAAGAAATGAAATATTACCAAGTCGACAATATGTCAAAGAAAGATGTAGGGCAGCAGAGCCGGGAGTTTTTAGAATTTGTCAAAGTGAGCTCTTGGTCGAGAAAAGTGATGAGATCAGTGGAACAAAGGCTCAGAGGGACATCTGAACGAACAGTTGCTATCCAGAATTTCTTCTCGAACGAACTTCAGGGAGATCCGCACTGCGTCAAGTTTCTTCACAGATGAGCCCTCGAACCAGAGCACCCTCTGTGTTACCATGGGGGAGCCGGCTATCGATACCAATCATGCACTGTCGGTCGTTAAGCCTTTTATCAGAACCGATAGCACGACCATCGACTCAAACAGTGATCGAGAGCCCTTAGCAATTGCGAAACCAATATCGCAGACGCGAAAATCTGTCATCAAGGAGACTTCGGTAGGAAAGAAAGCGGAGAAAGGAGACAAATCGAGAAGAAAACGAATACTGGCGAGGGATAAAATGGAGAAAGGAGACGTCAATGAAAACAAAAGTGGAAGTGATAATGGGAATGAGAGTATCATTGTGGTTGAAAATAAGAGAGTCGATAAAACGATAGATGACAGTGAGGATGAGGATGAGGATGAGGATGAGAGTGAGAGTGAGAATGAGAATGAGAGTGTTATCAAGGTGGAAAATGAGAACGTCATCAATGACCGTGAGCGACAAGAGGAGAGGAGCATCAAGATTGAAGATGACAGCGGGAAAGAATAGGAAACTCACAATAAAATCGAAGAAGAGAGTGATGACTCTGATTCCAGTGTGGATGAGGATCTGTCTAAAGCCAAGCTGGAACTCTTAAGCCAAATCTCCGACGAATTAAGCTTACTCAACAGCAAAAAGAGAAAGAAGTAAAAGAAGCAAGGAGATACACTTGGAGGAACATCATGAGTCTATTAAGCTGGTTGATGAGGCTCTGGTGTGTTTGGTGTTTTGACTTGTGTTCTTACCAGTGCGAGGGATTGTGTGTTTGGCTGCACCTTACAACTCGAGAATATTGTATATTGGGTGTTTTGATTGATAATAATCAGTCGAGGATATTGTATTAAGTCTCTGAACTTGATCGACGATATGTGTGCTTGGTCCTATAATCTGGTCGTGATTTGTATTTATTATAGTTACCTAGGTAGTCTGATTTGTCATTTCAAAAGAAAGAAAGTAACCAAGATGATAAATTAATCATCGCTTCGGACCGCTAATTCGTCCCTTGTACGAAGTACCTCGCACTAAGATAATAGATTTCTCGCCCCTCATATATTATAACCTTATAACCTTACTTGGCAGGGGAGAGTCAAGCGATCAATGAATCGTTTTGTGTTGATTGTGTGGAAAGTCTGACTCGAGATTGTAAGATCTTACGTATGTATCAACCGACAGCTTTCTAGAATTCAACATATCGTCGTATGTATCAACCGTCAGCTTTCTAGAATCCAACATATCGTCGTATTGCCCAAATCAAGATATGATGATCAAAAGACATCCAACACGTACGCTTCAGACTTGATCTCTTGTCTGAACAATTGCATCTCCACCCTCTCATCTATGCCGAGACAGTAACTCTATCGTAAATCCATATCAAAGTATATCTTCTACACAACACGAATGTTTCTGTTATCTTCTAAAGACATCGATTGACAAAGAAGAATATTTCTAGAAACATATTTCTCGCTGTCTCGTTGTCGACTTGTTGCACCATCGCATCCGCATCTCACGGCAACGATAAATGATCCACGTTGGCTTGCCAGTGACATCAAATGACACCATGAATGTTCCACCACACACCACCACCACCACCACCAAAAACCAAAAACCAAAAACCAAAAACCAAAAAACCAAGGTCGATTCATCTAATCTTACCTCGTAGTAACTAAGTAAGTAATAAGTGCTAGGTAAGATGAAGGGATCATGACTTCTACAATACATTAATAATTCGTCGTAAAATAGGTTAGAGCAATCGATTTCCTTTTCTATCCTTTCATTCTTTCCTTCTTGTAACCTTATCCTTGTGTTCTGTTTCTTCCTTCCTTCCTTCCTTCCCTTCCCTCCTGTCTTTCCTCCATCTTCATCGACAATATCAATACCATACATAATTCAACATGGTAGGTCATCGAAGCCGAACAACTGGAAATGATAGTGCATATGATGCCAAACAGAGTACATATCTCCGTCGAGACTTAGAACAAGGCAGACCATCCAAAGATAGAAAATATAGATTTCGTGATCATGGCCCTTTGGAACCAGATGATCGAAGACGAGAAGAATTCAAGACGAAGTTGTTAGATGGAGTCAAAAAATCGAGTTTAGAGGGCTTTCGCAAGAATGATGAAGAGGTATGTTATTTTCTACTTTGTTTCATCCTCTCCTCAAACTCGAATACACTCAAATACACCTACCTATCTACACGCAAAGTGAAACATCCCACTAACTCTCCCCACAGCTCAAAGGAATGCCCAAGTCCGTCCGCGGTTTCTACGAAGAACAAAACAATCGACTAGACGACTGGCTCGAAGTAAACGCTCTCGTCCAAGCCCTCGCAGACGACATTCTCGAATCCTTCGATCCACGAGACGACAACGGAGACGGAGTAGCAGAAGGCGGCGGCGCCTTACAAGATACCCAAGGATTTGTCGAACCCTTCTTACCCGATGCCGAACAAGAAAAACGTCAAAAAGCTCGCAGGAGCGCAAAATGGGCGATCAATATAAATGTCATCGCGAATGTCATCTTGCTAATTGCGAAAGCGGTTGCGGCGTTTTATTCTTCGTCTCTTTCTCTCATTGCTTCGTTGGTGGATTCTGCGCTTGATCTTTTGTGTACGGTGATTGTATTCATGACGAATCGATTAGTGCAATGGCGATTAATGAGCTTGAAACGAAAATTTCCCGTCGGAAGAAAAAGATTGGAACCGATTGGAATTCTGGTCTTCTCAATCATCATGATTATTTCATTTCTACAAATTCTTCAGGAGTCGGCTCAGAAACTCATGTCCAAGGGTCCGCATCAAGCAAAGGAATTACCGGTTATTGCGATTGCGTCGATGGCGGGTACGATTGGTCTCAAGGGATTTATTTGGTTCGGTTGTATTAGGATTAAAACTACTCAGGTACAAGCTTTGGCTCAAGGTATGTATCATTTATATTCCTGATCTCTCTCAACCCCGAGGCAAGATTTCCCTCACTAACACAAACCAAAGACTGCAAAACCGACGTCATCTTCAACACCCTCTCCCTCATCTTCCCCTACATCGGCCACGCCGCCAACCTCTGGTGGCTGGACCCCCTCGGCGCGGGTCTCCTCTCCCTCTTCATAATCTACGACTGGGCATCCACCTGTCTGGAGAACATATTCCGTCTCACCGGCTCCGCAGTCGATGATCGACTCCAGCAAAAACTCACCTTCCTCGCGTGGCGCTTTGCCCCGCTGGTCAATGGATACAAAAGTATCACGGCGTATCATGCGGGCGACGGGGTGTGGGTTGAAGTTGATATTTTATTGTCCGAGGGAACGACGCTCGAGGAGGCACATGATGTGGCGGAAACGTTGCAGTATTGTTGTGAGGGGTTGCCGGAGGTGGATAGAGCGTTTGTCACGTGTGATTATGCGGTGCAGGGACCCTCGGGGCATGCGATGGAGGGGGTAAATTAGGATGGGGATGAGGGGGGGTGGGAGATGGAGTTTTTGGGTTTAGAAATGGTGGGGGGAAGGTGTGATGAATTGGAAGTGTTGGATAAATCAATGTGTCGGAGGAAGAAAAGAAGAAAAGCAGGAGATTTAATGATTGAGATGAATCTCGTAGTTGGATGGACATCAAAGTATAATGATGAGATGAAGAAAATGCGTTTTTGTCAGATAGGAGTAGGATGATTGGGCTTTTAGGCGCTTATGGGTATAGGACGGTTGCAGAGCATAGTGCAGAAGGCGTTGAATAGTTTTTAAAGCATAACATACATAGAACGTTTCGCGAGGTACGAGAGAATATTGATATTGAAACTTACTCTATAGTAGGGATATATATCAAAATACGTGTTACAAAGCTCAATATCAGTATTGTATCTACATATTTCTACATCTCCATCTCCATGCCCATCCCCTCACCACATCTTTCCCCTCCCTATCCCCTCACCACCCACCCCCACATTCAACCCCCTCCCAGAATTCAGGGGGTTTAGGGAAAGTGGAGAGTATATCCGAACAGACGGGTGGATATCATCATGGTGAAGGTGTTGATAATTTGAAAGAGTTGGAATGGGATCTGTTGAGGGAGAGAAGCTGTGCGGATTTACTGGAGTAGGTTAATGTTTACTCGGAGATGATGGGAAGTTGGGAGGATGTGTAGAGTTGGATTGGATTGGATTGGATGATGAGAGGATTGAATTTGAACTTGGATGTTGTGCTTGTGCTCGTGCTTGTGCTTGGGGTGGAGGCTTAGGGTGGAGGATTGGGGTGGAGGATTGAGAATATTAATACATAAGAATTCTAAAACCTTCTTACTACACCCTGTAAGTTTCATAATAAAACCCCTATAAAAATAATGTTTTCTTATAATATAGTTTAATACTAAGTAGTTTATATCATTAGATAGCTCATTTCAAAATATATCAAAGTTAGGCGTTTTTTGATATTTAAATTTTAATCATCAAACAATTTTTTTTTAAAAAAGGTTAAATAATTATGAAAATTAGCTTTTTAAATATAATCTAGTTTTTATTTAAAGATTTTCATTATATTATTAAAAAAAATCAAAATTGTTATGATTTTTGTTTTAAAAATATTATTTTAATAATAATTCTTATATTAATTTAAATTTTCAAAAACAAATTAGATTTTTATAATATTTATATAATTTAATATTATGTCTTTGATTTTTAAAAAATTATATTAATAAATGAAGAAAGTATATGATTATATATAAATGAATTTTAAATGTATTTGAAATGAATTATTTAGTAATATAAATTAACGTAGTTTATTATTAAGTAGATTATATCAATGAATAAATCACTTTCACCTCAATTTACATTCTTTTCTTTCAATATACGTTTTATCAACAATTCATAATGAATTTGAATAATCAAAAAGCTTATATACTCCTCGTTATCAAAGCTATTCAAAAAAAATAAAAAAATAAGTATTCGAAAAACTACAAAGATATATAATATCCCGAATATAATATTATAATATAAAATCAAAGGTTTTACTCTTTACTCTAAATATTAACCTAAATCTTATAATCTTTTAAAATTAAAAGAGAATATTATTTCTAAATATATAATCGATATAAATTTGGAAGGTTTTTTATTTAAATTCAAGAATATAAAAGATATAGTAAATCATATTCTCAAATTAAAGGGTATAAAATATATTGAAAAGCTTTAGGCATATCGATTCGTAAAATATTAAATTAAATTAAAAATATATTTTAATTATGTTTATAACTTTCAAAAAGCTTTCTATAAGAATTTTAAACTTCTTAAAAAGTAATTTCAATTAGTTATAAATATATAAGCAAAATATAGTATTTTGAATAGAGATTCCTATAATTTCAATAAAATAGACTTTATAATAGGGATTATATATATAGTAATAATAGTAATTAATATTGAACGAAATAATAAAAGTAAGGTAGTATAATTAGGTAATTGAGAATAAGCTATAGTAATAATATACAAAAATGAAAAGAGTGAAACTATTCCCTTATTTTTAATAATTTAAGAATAAGTTCATCTTTCTAATTGGTATACTAAAACGAATCTTTTTATGGAATAAATTATTAAATTTATATTTAATAGGTAAACAAATAATAAAACAGGTTTAAAATAATTGAAATACTTTAATAAGTATATTAAGAATTTGTTATGGGAGCTGCCTCTAGGGTTATATGGAAGTGTTTAGAGATCTCTTGAGGTGGTTTAGATTAGATTTTAAGTAGGAATTCAATAAGGTTGTAATTGGTTGTAATTCTCGTAACTATAATAATGAAATTAATAATTGTTCTTTTAAATATAAAGCTTTATATTCTAATAAAACTTATTTGTTATATAGACCTTTGTTATTTGAAACTTTTGGGATCCATATGCTCCTGGAGTCTGTAGCTCCTTAAGGCTCTCTCATGTGATATGCGAATGTGTTATGTGATGTTTGTCGTAATAGAATTAAAGAAAGGGTAAATATTAAATATTAATATTAGATAAATATAAAAATTATAAATCAATAGCTTTTTAAGTATGTTATAAAGAAAATAATATTATATATTTATGTTTATTATTATATTTAAATTATTTAATTTAATTATTTGATATTAATTATTTTAGTAATCTGAAATGTTTATATGGTAATTAAATTAATAAATTTATTAAGGTATATATTAATTATATTTCGAAGATTGAATTCTTTATAGCTTTTAAAGTTATATATAAGGAATCAATTATTTTTTAGAATATGAAATTGAGATTTCAAGGAATAGGTTTAATTTTATTTAATTCTGAAACTATACTTTCGAAATTAAATATTCGAATTCATACACCTACCCCCCCCTCTTTCAATCTAGATTAATGAATCTCTTAAACCCTTTTGTTACGACGACATCTAACATACCGAGTCACCTGATCAGAAAGTCACGGGATTAGAGATTCCCACTGGATCCCACTGCTCCCACCTGGTGGGACACGATGGGATCAATGGGACAACAAGGAACGAAGGTCTATATAAGGGAATGGGTTTCATTACAATGTAGAGCTTCGTGCTCAAGAACAATCATTAGTTTCATTACTATAGTTACGAGAATTGCAACCAGTTACAACCTTATTGAATTCCTACTTAAAATCTAATCTAAACCACCTCAAGAGATCTCTAGACACTTCCACGTGACCCTAGAGGCAGCTCCCGTAACACCTTTGTAACTCAATTAAAGCTCTTTCTTAATTAATATTAATTAAATCTTAAATAATTTGTTATCAAATAAACTCCTTTACATTTATATTTGAGATTATATTAACTTTAGTTAAAGATATAGAAAGATTAGTTTATAAAAATATATTTTTAAATATAAAGAATTATATATTTTAAATAGTAAATGAAGTATTAAATAAATGTCGATATATAAAAAAAATCTAATTATATTAAGGAGAAGTATTTATTAAATAAAAGACTTTTAATATATTATTTTAGTAAAAAGTTGATATTTAGATTTAATATAATAAATATTAAAAGAAAATAAATCTAATAAAAAAGTATTTTTTATTTAATATTATAGTAAATATAGAAAGATAGGTTATAATATAAAAATCTATCAAAATAATATAATAGATCTTAGATTATCAGAATCTTTATAATTTCAATTAATTAATTCGATTATTATTAAATAATATAGTTTTGAAAGTGTAAATTGAGGTGAAAGTAACTTATTTACTGATATAACCTACTCATTAATAAACCACGTTATATAAAGAATTAATTATCTTTTAGAATATAAAATCAAAGTTTTAAGGAATAGTTTTAATACCTTTCGATTTTAAAACTATGCTTTTGAAATTGAATATTTAAATTCGTATATCTATTCCCTTTTTTTTTCAATTAAGATTTATGAATCTCTTAAACCCCTTATAATTCATCTGAAGCTCTTTCACAATTAACTTTAATAAAATCTCGAATAACTTATCATTAATTAAGCTTCCCTACATTTATATTCGAAACTATATTAGCTTTAGTTAAGAATATAAAAAGATTAGCTTATAAAAATACATTTTTGAATATAGAGATTCATATACTTCGAATAGTAAATAAAGCATTAAATAAACATTAACATATAAAAAAAAACTTAATTATATCAAAAAGGAGTATTTATTGAATAAAAGGTTCTTAATATATTATTTCAATAAAAAGTTGATATTTAGATTTAATATAATAAGTATTAAAAAGAAAAGAATTCTAATAAAAAAGTATTTTTTAATTAATATTATAATAAGTATAGAAAGATTGAGTATAATATAAAGACTTATCAAAATGATTTAATAGATTCTAGATTATTAAAATCTTTATAATTTCAATCAATTGATTTAATTGTTATTAAATAATATGAATTTGAAAGTATGAATTGAGGTGAAAATGGTTTACTTAATGATATAATCTACTCAATGATAAATCATATTATATATAATTCATTAAAAATTGTAATTTTTTTATTAAAAGTTTTTCGATATTTAGATTTGATAATTAATTGAGTTTTCGATATTTACACATATAATGAACAATTTGTTATTTATTTTTATAAATTAACGAAATCTGAATTACATTTGAATATTAAGAGTTTATAATTTAGAATATTAGCTTTAGTTTTCAATAAGGCTTCTTGTAATGAGATGTCCTGAGTATGTATTTGTTATCTCTTATATAATCTTATTAATGCGGAAAGCTTGTTTTGAGATGATAGAGAGATTAGAGATCTGCCCGGGTGATGGTGACTCAAAGATGTAGTTTGAGATGAGGAAATGGGGAAGTTTGAGGGGGTCAAGGTAATACGGAGTGAGGATGGGAGGGATCTTGGAGAAAGCACTTTTTTATGTTGGATGAGTGGATATTGTTGAGATTTTCTAGGGAGATGGTCTGCCTCCACGGCAGTGGCCCTCGGAGAGCCAGCGGAGCGTCATTGCTTATTTCTTTCGTGGATCTTCTTTTGATATAGTTGAGTATTCGATTTTGACGGGGAAGGCATTGTGTTTGAATGGTTGCTGGAATATAGTCATTTTGGTCGAATGGCAATAATTTAACGAGTAGGTTAAGGTACGGTGAAGATAACTAGATTATTCAAAAACTATATACAAAGGAATTGAAAGATGATGAGATTTATAAGAATGGGATTTTATGTTGGATAGGATGAAGTTGGGTGAGATGGATGTATTCAATTGTTGTTAAGATGTTATCTATTAATTTAAGCTTCACCAGCTTCCATGACGATACCATTTTCTTTGGTTAGGGAGGTAAGGTTAGGTCACCACTCGAAATTCCTACTTGTTAACTTTTTTTATTCTGAAATTGAAATAAACCACAAAACGTGTACCGGTAATTCCTACATCTAAATATATAAAACTTCAATGTATCGTCCTTCGATCAAATCCGCAGCGATTGTTCGGAATATCATAAAACCATCTTATCCCATTCCCATTCAAAGTCTCACCAGCACCAGAACAATGACGAGCAACTCTCCACCAAAATTCCCTCTACCCAAAACTACACCACTTCCTCGATCTCTCTATCCAACCACATTCAATTTCACACCATCCGATTTCCATCGCCAAGATGAATCTCCAGATACAGAATGGTATTCTCAACCACGATTTGTTCAACACATTGACGATGGCGCTATATCCATATTGAAACACTACTATTCGACTTTCATCACGTCCAAAACATCTGTTTTGGATATCTGTTCATCGTGGGTTTCACATTTACCATCATCACTCCAACCCAGCACGATGATAGGAATTGGGATGAACGAAGCAGAATTACAACGAAATAAACATTTGACGAAATATTCTGTTCAAGATTTGAATCGGGATCCGAAATTGGAGGGGGTGGAGAGTGATTCTATGGATGTGGTGATGTGTAATGTATCAGTGGATTATCTCACTCAACCGGTTCAAGTTTTTGAGGAGATAAATAGGGTGTTGAAGGAGGGAGGGGAAGCTCACATGGCGTTTAGCAATCGATGTTTTCCGACGAAGGTGGTGGGGAAATGGATGAGGATGGATGATGGTGAGAGGAGGAAATGGGTGGGAGGATATTTTTGGGCTAGTGGGGGGTGGGTGGATGTGGAAGAGGTGGTGTTGAAGGAGGGGGGTGGGAATGGATTCTTGGGATTGAGGGGATATGAAGATCCGGTGTTTGTTGTGAGAGGGAGGAAGATGAGACGGGTTTGAGAGAAGGAGAGAAGGAGATGTCTTGATAGGTACACGTAGAGGATGTCGAAGGTGTGGATTTGATAGTTAATTGTGATGGAGAAGACTGGGCAATGAATTTGAGATAGGAATATGTGGTTGCTGTGGTGATAGGAAGAGATATGAATATATGAAGTGGGCTTGAGAGAAGGAGAGAAGGAGATGTCTTGATAGGTACACGTAGAGGATGTCGAAGGTGTGGATTTGATAGTTGATTGTGATGGAGAAGACTGGGCAATGAATTTGAGATATGAATATCCGGTCGTTGTGGTGATAGGAAGAGATATGAATATATGAGGCGGGCTTGAGTGAGGAACCGTATATCAGTCGATATAGATGGTGTGAATGGTGTAAATGGTGTAGATTGACAAAGGTTCATAATGGAACACAATAGGACATACTGGATGATGATATTGAGGGATGAGACGATTCATCTTGACAGGCAGGAAGACGTGAAGGAACTTATCCAGTGAAAGATGCAGTGAAATCTACACATACGAACGGAGTATTCGGACTATCGGGAACGATATACAATATAAAATGTCGAAAATTAAGGAGGATTCCAAACTCCGAATCCTCGATTGTGATTGGTGGATTCACGGGTGAGCCTCGGAAATGGTTCATTCACGTTATCATTTGAAGGCCGGCTGGGGGTTCAAACAATGATGAAAATAGAGTTTACGAGTTTGTCTCGATGAATAAGATCCCATGTTTCATCGTCTACGTATTCACGATATCTCATTTATCAGATTCATTTGACGATGTGATGCTATTCTGGGATTATGTGTTGTTGGGAGAGATATCACATCAAGGCTAGAATATGGCTCCACGTGCAGTTTTCAGTGTCCAATATCCTGGTAGAGGCCGGATGCCCAACGGAATTCCTTTATATACAACTCTGTGGAACTATATACAACATTGCACAACATTTGTCCGACAACATTGACAACAAGAATGGGCTCAACACATACGGAGGTCGCGGTCATTTGGGAAGAGATTGTGGGTTCTGTTAGGGTACATATGTTGTAAGGCTCTATAAATCGTTGGATTTAATTAGGATCTATGAAGGTGATGGTCATTTTGAAAGAGATTATAAGCTTTTTCAGAGTATATATGCTGTAAGGCTCTATAAATCGTTGGACTTAATTAGGATCTATAAAGATAATAGTTATTTTGAAAAAGAATATAAGCTCTTTCAGAGTATAAACACTTTAAGACTCTATAAATCGTTGGATTTAATTAGGATCTATAAAGATAATAGTTATTTTGAAAAGATTATAGACTCTTTCAAGGCACATACACTATAAGGCTCTATAAATCGTCGAATTTAATCAAGATCTATAAAAACTGACTTCCGCTCTACCTGAATAGACTCGTGATGCCTATATTCTAGGGCTCAAATGAATTCCAAAGCAACCTTAAATAACAATACTTGAAGCCTATAGGCTTATTAAATCTAATATAGGCTTGAAACGATTAGAACACAAACCTTATAGTGCTCAATTAGTGTGCTTGATTATAGATATCTACAGGGCTACCTAGTCTCCTTCAAAATGACCACGACCTCCGTAGATGGTAGTAGAGTTCGACAACTTTATCATTTTCAATAATCGTTTGGCTGCAGTTTCGCCAATGGATCTCTTCGTTCCATGATCCATCGTGTCAATAATCAATGTGCTTACATTCTCCGCGTACCGATTACGGGGCGAGAATTCAACCCTTAACCTTACCTTTGTCAAATCCTTCTCGTGCGTGTCATGTTACATTCGTAGGAAGCATACACAATCTTCGATTTCCCACGTATCTGAATCTGATACTACTTATTACTTGATGCACCAATCATCAACTTATGATGGATATAAAATCATAGCTCTCTGGGGACTACGCCGCTTCCATGATCCAGCCATACACACATGTAATTTCCACCGTTCTCGTCTTGTCAACATGGGATGGGTTCGCTCGTTTGTCAAATTTCGTGGAAAAGCTTACACTATGCCTTATGAACTCAATAAGGTTTCAAGTATATACCAAGATGCTGAATCGGTGCCAAAATTAATACTTACCGGCAAAAGAAACTTTCGCTTACCACTCGTCGTCGTGCTTTTAATCAATTAGAGTTTGCGAAAGTGGATGGAAAGTCGAGACTCCCATCGATTGGAAATATATTCCAGAGGAAATATCCTCAAATTTAAGCTCCTGAATTTTCGAATCAAGTACATGAGAGGGTCTCTCGAAGCCCTGGAGACCCTTTGCTTTAGATTGCGTTGGTTGCGAAATATAATTCACCTTTGTGCAATTCGCTTTTTCATGGCCACACACTTTTCTATTCGGTCGTTATGGCAGGCCGAAGGACTTCTCATCCCATGAGGTTGAATCATTATTTGCCCATGGCCAATCACAGCCACAAGGCCTCGGATTTGCAGGATGTTATGGAGTTGAAGGATCAAGGAAAGGATTCGCACCATTTCCCTAAAACAGACCACGAGCGAGAAACCTCATATACATTCCATACAATCGAAATGGAGGACCAAAGAATCGAATCGCATGACATTCCCAAGACAAATCATGATGAAAAAACTCCATATGCTTTTCATACCATCGACATGGAAGACGAAGAAAAAAGACCGTATCCCATTCGAGTGGATTCGCTACAATCAACTCATTCTATGCAATCTGAGCATTCCGAGACGGGGAGAAGTCATTCAACAATTAGACCACTCGATACACAAGAAGAGGACTTGGTGGGAAAGTCGGAACCAAGTCACCATTATCACGATGGTATCTTCTGGCGCTCACCAATTTTGATGGGTGGAAATTTGTTCGTTGGAATTATTGCTAGTATTGCTCATCATGTATTTTATAGTTGCATGGTGGGAAAGCAGGTGGGAGATGATTATTCTCAACAGTGGACTTTGAGGTAAGTCTTTCATATTGAATATAGAGTCCTCAGTAACACTCCTCACTTCCTATCCCTCATTTTTCATCCCTCATTCCTTAATTCTCATTTCCGACATAACGATAACTGGACTAACACATGAACTTAGATATGGAACAACCTTTGCTTTTGTTTCACAAGTATGTCTCGTCAGCTCAGTTGGATTTGCTTATACACAATGGCTTTGGAAATCTTTGTATCACAAGGATACGAAAGTTTCTGTTAATTGTCTTGATGCTGCTTTCGTTGCCGATACATCTGTTTTATCAATTTTGAACACAGAAATGCTTTGGAAGCTTAAATTGGGGTCTTTACTTGCGATAGTTGCATGGTTAGTCTTTTTTGGATTTTGTTATGCGTGGCCATTTTCAACGTTACTTGGCCTGCTCTGTGTCATCAGCTTTACTGTCTCTTGAATTTGAGTTTGAGGAGTCAAAATTGTGACAGGCTTTCATGAAACTTTATACTCATTCCAATATAGGACTCTACCCATCGGCTCTCTACTCACTCCCGGTACACTCTACGTTGTACCCAGTTCCAAATCCATTCATACATACGCCAATGTCTCTTCCCTTGACATGTATGGTCATGATCAACCTTCAAGATTCACATACTCAGCACCTGTGAATGTCACAGATGGTGTACAACACGCACTATTTCTTGGGCCACGAACAATCATTACACGTCTATCGACTGCCACTGCAACACAAGGGGAAATCCTACCAATAAATGCACCTTTCTCCAACGCAACATATGATGTACAATTTTACGGACCTATTGTCAAGTGTAATGAAGCTGATTCAACTACCGCCACGATCATACAAAATCTTCGAGATGAATCTGTCGCCAATATCACAGGATCAGTTACAGAGGTATCGAATTATTATTACGCGTTTGTTCCTAACCTAGGGAATTATGACAATAGTTCATTACCCAACCACGGCGTTACAGTAATCCCTCAAGCCCGACTCCAACAACCCCAGAATGCTTCCAATCAACTCTGGATGGCTTATTCGAGATACCACCAATCAAAATCCTTTGAAACAGAAAATCACTACACAGTTTGCACACTCTATAACGCATCCTACAATATCAACATTAATTTCGAAGAAGGAACCCAAACCGTTACTTCTCAATCCCTCTCTGTACTTAACTCAGTCCCTTATCCCGATGTTAACACTCCACTCTCCAAATCACTCATGGTTCAACATGCATACTCAGCGTATATGTGGGCAATTGCTGATCTGATGGTTGGTACCATGGGTATTTTCCAAGCTGCTCCTTCGGCTCCAGGTCTTCCATCTACATACTTTTCAGAAATCACAACGCAGATTGCTCATACATCTTTACTTGGTAGCTCGGATTTAGATGCTTTTTTTGAAAGGAAGAGTAATGATCCTTTGGGGAATAATAATACGGCGGTTAGTGATCAGAGAGCGCAGGATATTAGTTTGGCGGGAAATGCGACTCTGGAAGCGTTGGTGGAGGAATTAGCTTGGAATGTCACGTGTGGGTTTCTTAATAGTAATTTGTTGTCGTAGGTTTTTCGTTTCATATTTCTTGTCAAATTCTTCTCGGAGTAAAGAGATACTAACAAACATATACAGCCCTTCCACGAATACTTCAGTCCTTTCCACGACCTCCATAAACATATACGCCTACCATTCCTCTACTCTTCTCCTCTCATACGGTATAGCAATATTCGTAGCACTCATCGCCAATTCTCTGGGCGCATACGCATATCATATCAATGGACGTTCGCATAATAAAAGTTTCTCAGCCATCCTGGCAGCGACGAGGGATAGTGAGTTTGGAAGATTATTACCTGGGGGAGTGAGAGGGAAGATTCCATTACCCGAATGGGTGTTGGAGACACAGTTGAGATTTGTGGATGTTGATGGTGGTGGAGTCGATGAGTGTGGGATGGGTGGAAAGAAAGGGGGAGGAAGAGAGTTTAGAGTGGTGGGAATGAGGAAGGGGTATGAGGCTAGAAGGGAAACTGATCCCGTGGGGGTATTTTCAGAGAGGTGATGAGTTATGATTTGGGTTTGCTGTGAATAGGAATTTTAAATTTGGAATTTGAATTGAAGTTCTTTCAGCGATGGAGTTGGGGCTGGGGCTGGGAAGGATAGGGAAAGATAATGTATAGTATCCTGGGGTTTTTGATACTTATACGGGTGCTATAGGAGTTGATGATTGAATCTTCTAGATAGATAGATAGATTTACTTGAAGTTATATAATGATTCTCAACGACTCCTTGGGTTTTCCCCTGTCATATTTTGTAATCAGTGTTTGTTATCATATAACTTATATCACTTGCAAATATTACGAATCATATCACATCACATCACATCGCATCACATCACATCACATCATATAATCCCACCATCTCAATCAAGCACCTCAAATATAACATCCCGATTTCTGATTCTGATTCTTGTTCAATAGAAACAAATCCTATCCAGATACATCCAATCCAGTACACCCAATAACACAATCGCTCCTTCCTCGCTGGTATCATGAAAATAAAAGTAAAATCTTCCTCGAGCTCCCATCTCCCATCTGCGGTGACTCGGTCCTGGTGAGTGCAGAATCGCTAAAGATTGGTATGGTTCATCTAATCTCTACCCCGATTTATTAAATCTCCTGCTCTAATATTCTTAGAAGCTGCTGAGAAAAGACGTGGAAATGGAAAAGGAAAGGAAAGGAGGAAAAGAGGAAATGAAAATGAAAATGAACATGAACATGAATATGAACATGAATATGAATATGAAATCGAAAATGAAATACCCCATGGATCACTTCGTTATGTGATTATTGCACCATTCCACCACCCATTATCCATTATTCCATCATTCCATCCATCATTTCATCATCAACTATTCGACCATTCCATTATTCAAAGTACTCCCTTCTTCCTCAAAATCTCTCTTGAGAAAGCTATCGCGCATCTTCATCGAACTCCCAATCACAATAACCCAGTAATTCAACCATTTTGAATGCAGTATCTCTGATCCAACTCCCAAGTCATTATGCATCCAACCTCCACCCAGATTCCCAAATTCTTCATTCTAGATCCGCGGAATTCTTGAGAAAGAAGAAACAAAAGGAAAGGAAAACGAGCAAGGTTTGCGTTGGTTATTCAAAGTAATCCCTCTCTCCTCAATATCTCCTCCTGAGAAAGCTGTCGCGCATCCTCATCAAATTCCTCCTCTCCCTCTCCAAATCCCTCTTGAATCGGACTCAAAAGCGTACCATTTATCTCCTCTCTCTCAATCCCAATTAAAATCTCTCCATCCTCATCTCCCTCAGTATATCCCACAACCTCTCCCTCCCTCTCTCCCACATCAGTATCTTCATCCTCAAACCCATCAACCGCATGTGTAATCGGACACTTTGGTCCCCCCAACACTTTCTCCACATCATTGAATACAAACCAACGTGCTCCAACCCCCGCACTACTAGTTTCTTCTTGTGCCCAGCCGCCATCTACGAAATCTGGATTTGGCTTGCCGTATTGGCCCCAGATGTATGGTTCTTCTTCGTCGTCGTCCTCATCATCATCATCACCATCGCCATCCTCCCCTTCCTCATTCTCATTCTCTTTCGCAACAAACTCCCTCCTCAACCTCTCAATATCCCTCTTCGTTTCTTCCTCCTCATTGTCTCTCTTCCTCTCTGACTTTCCATCCTCTAAACTCTTTAATAACCTCAAAATTCCTCTTCACCTCCTCAAAATACCCCTCAATCTCCTCATTCTTCAATAAATTCTCCTTTCTTATTTTCGGAAGCGTAGCGCTAATAGAATCGAGAGGAGCAATGCTATACCAACCGAGGGGCTTAGTAGTGAGATCTTGGGGGACGGAGAGCGAGGAAGAACGCAGGGGACGAGTGAAGTGAGGGTTCGGGGCTGGCGGGACAGCATGTAGAGCAGGGAGTTTGCCTTTTTGGTTGGCGCTTAAGATTGGGGGGGGTCTGTGGGGATTGTGATTTTGAGGAGTGGGAGGTGGTGAGACTTGGTATTGTTCCCTTGGATGGGGGTTTATCGGTATCATCACCTTCAGAGCCAAGATGCGCAGCAGCCGAAGATGAAGCCGAAGCCGAAGAACCTGAAACAAACGCTAAATCCTCACTCCTCACCCCCATGTCTCTCAACATCTGTTGAATCTCCTCGGGTGTCTTCTTCACCATTCCAGTTGGCGCACCGATCTGCATTTCTTTTCCTGCTCTCGCATCTTTCTTCTCTTTCTCCTTCTCCTTATCCTTTGTATCTTTCATAAACACACCCGGCATCCCCGAAAAAGGATTTCCAAATCCGGAAAAAGAAGAAGATGATGAGGACGACGGTGCGGTTTTCGGTCTCGTAGGTTCATCTGTCGATGCTTGAGAAGCAGAGAGTGGAGAAGAGCCAGAGCCCGAACCAAAGAGCGCAGAACTGGAAGACTTTTTTCGCAGAATCAAACTAGGTTTTGGAGAGAGGGTCTGCGTGTGTGTTCGCAGGGTGGAAAATGCTTTGTGCATCTTTTGATGCGCGAGGGTGAGGTTGAAACGGGATTTTTTGGTGGTTTCGGTGGGGAGGGAGGAGTCTTGAGAGGTTTGAGAGGGAATCAAAGGGGTGAGTGAGAGATCGGAGGTTTCGTGCGCGAATGTTACGTGTCGGAGGTTACTGGGGCGGGAGGAAGTGAAGAGGTTGGTTGAGGAGGAGGAGGGGATTGGTGGTGGTGGAGTTGATGGATGAGGAAGAATTGCGGGAAGGACTCGTGAATAGCGATCTGTGCGACTGATTGCGCCATTGCGGTTGGGTGTGTATTCTTGCTCTTCGGGGATGGGTGAGACTGGAGGAGCTGAAAGATCGGGAGAGGTAGCTGAGCGACGAAGCTGGGGGGAAGACATGGTGGTGCGAAGGTGGTGGGATGGAAAATTGGGAGAAGGTGAGGAGATCATGTGGCGTGGGATTTGTGGGATTTTGGTTGAGGATTGCGGGTCGGGGATTGGTTTTGCCGGGTAGTGAATATCGTCCAGGTTGCCGTCTAGTGAAGCGCGGAGGGCGAGTTCCTCGCTCAGTTCGGGGACTGAGACGGGGAGATTGTGTCCAGGTAGGTAGGATAGTGGAGGAGGAGGTCTGCGAGGAGATGAGGGAGGAGGAAGAGGACGGGAGAAATCTAATGAGATGTTAGTGAATCAAGAGACTATTGTTCAGATAGAATTGCTTACTTGGGGAGTTGGGAGAGTCCATTTTTCTGTTTTGGCAAGTTAGCATTTAGATCTGGCTAGATAGTTGTATACTCTCGTCGAAGTATGATAAGCTAGGAAAGATAGACTAGAAACAGAAAATAGGAAAAGATCTCAGAACTCTTTGTCTACTTGTGCAAGTAGCAGAGAAATTCCAACAAGAGAGATCAGAATAACACAACTCTCGTCGAAGCATGGTAGATAACTAGAGCTAGAAAATAAGAGTAAATATAATCCAAGACCTCAAGATATCCATCTAGCTCTACGAAGAGTAGAGAATCTGAAGATCAAACCTTGACAATGGAACTACTATCGTCGAAGTATGACAAGCTGAAGAGTCAAAATAGATGACGTGATGGTGATAAATCTGAGAAGTAGCTTTCTGCTGAACATGTGTAAGAAAATTCAAGAACTTGGAGAGAGATTGGAATCACTCTCATTGAGTTGTGATGAGCTAGAGAGACTGATGAGTTGAATAAAAGGTATAAAGAACCATACCAATCTCATCAAAACACAGTAGGATGAAAGACCAAACCCTAGAATCATCAATTCAAACCAGGCAAATCTTCACCTTATTCCTATCCTTAAACAAGTATTGTAAAATACCATAGAGAAAGGATACCAATAGAAACAATCTCAAACCCTTCAATACCATACACCCAACCTACTAAACAAAAGAAAAGCGCACAAACTCACCCAGTAAACAATTCCAAACCACCAAGACCACAGAAAATACCAGCCTCAAAGACTGAAAATGAAGCCAAAAGTAAAGCGCAGGCTGATGTAAAAGAAGTATTTAATATCCCAGTGGTTGTACTGGGAGTTCGTTGTTATTGTTATTACTTAGAGAGAGAAAGAAAAGAAGAAAGAAAGGAAATCTTCCCCACAAGATATTCTCTAGTAAGGTTATCTGAAGGGTAGAAAGCGGCTGAGCACCTTACTTAATCGAGGCTGAGCTGTTTAAATTAGTTCTTTGATTCTCTAGTTTTCAGTGCTGGGTTCGGATTTGAAGATTTGGTTTGGGTAGATTTGAAGAGTTAGTTTGGGTAGGGAAATAGGTTGTTAGAGGGGTTTATGGGGATTAGAAGTTGTTTTTTATTAGTTGGATAGTTGGATATTTATGAGACCAATGTAATAAACAGTAATCAACTATTTTGAGGATGGTCAAGGATCTAAAAAGTTGTTTCTTATTGTTTTGAAGGGTGATTTGATGTGTGAGACTCTAGTTTCTCCAACTTTGAGAACTCGGGTAATGGGGTCACGTGTAAGGGGTATTATTTTGGACTTGATACTTGTTGTGGTCAACTTTTTGAGGGCATGGGAGGCTTATAGTAGAACTGGCTTTTAGATTGAGTAACTGCATGCTTTAATTTACCTAAGTATCAACTTTTCAAAGTAATTAGTGGAGTTTGCGACGTCATAGTGAGGCTGCACCTACAGTGTGAGCAGACAACTTTTAGAGATGAGGGGATCACTTGAACGATGTAGATTAGGAGGGAAGATAAAGAATGAATAGTGAGCTTATACTACATAAAACATATCAACTTACACGTTCTACGTCTACGTAAGAAAAATCAATGTTGCTAATAGAAATGGTAACTTGACTGGAACCCGTTAAGGTTACACTGACTCTATGTCCGTGAGCTCAATGTCGCCTCAATTATGCCCCGAGTCAATATTATGAAAGAGTTGAATTCTAGCACCAACTCTCACGCATTAGAAGCGCGTGAATAGACGGTTTCGAAAAATGTAGATAGAATCTAGTTGGTGCGCTATCTATCTGCCTAGCGCTTTGAAGCCGTTCCCATTCTCAGATTTTCAATACGTAACATTCGAAATTTCGCTCCACGGCTCACAATCTCGAATATCCGACCTCATTCTTGAGCATCAAACATAATTCATCTATAACTGCCGACTTTCTCGAAGCCGCGATGCAAAAACATTTGGCATGGGATAATAAAACCCTGGATCACTTATTTTCGATTTCAGAATATTCAAATTTCGGAACACTGTACATACGACCCCAATCACAAAGATATGGCGTTCTATACCAGTGAATAAATCAATACAAACATAACCTCGCAGTTTCTGACAGTCCAATGATTCTGTAGATATATCAGCCATCTCATACGATAGATAAATCTTGGCATGCCCATTGGCAATGATATTCCCCGATAGTTGATGCCTGCAAAGCTTTACCGCCGGCGATTCGCCTCCATCTGAGCCACCAATATTTAGAAACTCTTAAAAACGTATTTAAATTAGCAAATATCTAGTTCTAGTTCTTTTTACCTATGATTCTTGGTAACTATAATTGAGTATGTTTGCTGTTTTTCTTTGGAGAGTAATAACAGGAATAAGTGAGTTCTTCAGAGATAATCGAAGTTGCATGTAAATGTCTTGTGGATGCCAAGTTTATGCGTGAGTATGGTACTAGATATAGCGGGGGGAAGGATGTATTGTATTTCGTTGTGCGGATGATTTTGATGGGGAAGACGTGATGAGATGGTATGTGGTAGTGTATCAGGGATGTGAGTATCAAATATGTGCGTTTATCTGTAGAGAAAGTTGGTGGTATTTACGATCTTAAATCTGGAACCTAGTTGGTCTGGTTTCAGCGATCCTGAAGATCAAATAGGGAGTGTTGTGCGAGAGCTTCCTATTTTATAGCTTTTAAATTTGATTCATTTGGGAGAATAGTAACATGATGAAAATGAGAAGGATAGTAAAGTTGTGAAAATGAAAAGAATGTTTGGTAAGACATAACCAGTTGACTAGCTAAAAGACAGATTACAAAAGCAGCAGTTGACACGCCATAGACAATACGAGAAATGACCCGTTTACCCTCGGACCACGAAACATTTCCCCAGACACAATCATCAAAAAAAAACCCAAGTATCTCTCAAACCAAAAAGATATCCCTCGTCGCCCTATTCCTATCCTTCCCATCCTCAACTAAAAACTCCACTCTCGGCCCTATAAACTCATGATTCCATTCCTCACCCCCATCTTCCTCCCAATCCTCTCCCACTCCCGTATCTTTCCAACCAAAAGGTACCAACCCATGTATTCCCCACTGCAACCAATTTCTGCCCGTGCCTGGCCCGGTCCCACGAGGTCCCCTTTCCCCCTTAATCAGCGGTTGGAAAAACTATTCTCGGGCATGAGCCATCATATATTCCCACCCATTTTGCGTATAAGCTCCTTCTTTATGAAAACGTTCTTTGTACGTTTCAAAACATTTACTTCTGACATATGGCGAGGGACTCGTAAACTTGGGGATTTGGGAGGTAGACGCTGCGGTGTAGGTGCCATGTGCTTTCCCATTTCGTAGTGTTCTCCTTTCACCTTTTTCTTCAGATACGAAAACAATCTTTCGGATTCCATAGAAATCTTTATTTAAACCCCCCCCCAGCAGAAATGATGTCTCTTCACTGGAATATCAAAGCTGAACCCGATATTCCTCAATTCTTTCCTTATATCCACATCTCCAAATAACAGACGAAGCGCATCATTAACCGGAAACAAAAGGTCTGAGCAGGGTTGACAAAATTGTGGCTCGTATATAAGACGATCTTTCAAATCTGCATGTGCATTTGACATTGGAAAATGTTGATTCCATGTCTTATCAAAAAAATCATGGTTTGTGAAATAAACGATATCCTTCTTGAGATTAACATAAATGCCTGTTGCTTCATCGCCGTGCGTGGAGGGTACATTGAGTCGAACGCCCATAGCATTGATCTTATCTTGATGACCAGATTCATTGGACATGCTCACGAGCTCATATAGAGGCAGAGCTAGTGAGCGAGAGATGGAACAGACATGTAACAGCGGAGGTATGATAGAAATGGGTGTCAGAAAAAGAGGAGTCTTGTTCTTCATTTCGCTGTACCTTTGGCTCGAGCAGCCAGGTGTCCAATGGACAATAATTGGTATGACACGAGATTCATCAGCTGCGAAACTGGCGGCAAGCTTCCAAATCTCTGTTTGAATCTCGACTGGAAGCAGAGAAAATTGGTGAAATGTTGTGGGGGGCATGATCTGCTCCGAAATCAAGGGCAAGGTGCCTTTCATGTGCAAACTATGGCATTAGCTACAGTTTTTGCTTGGCAGTCGAGTATATTCTACACTGTGTGCAGGATACACGACCGCCCTGTAGCAACAAAGTTTTCCTCCTAGCGGCCTGGGAGGATTAGGCGGCACTGTGAATTTGCGGGCGGTCCTTCTTCGTCTTGGCATTGGAAAGTGGTGATCGAGAGCATATTTTGCAAGGCGATGAAGATGATAAAGAGAAAGTAAAGTGTAAGCAAAGAAGATGGAAGTTATGGGTAACTTATATCATCCGGGAAAGTTTAGCGAGCGGCACAGCCACGAAACGGAAAAACACGTGATAATCCAACACCGGACTGCTTTCCCAGATCAGGGCGTTACCAATGGCCCTCAGTCAACATAATCCAATATTGTCGCATAGAGAGGAGGATTACAGATTCAGGGTCTAAAAGGTTGTTTGATCTATTGACAGAAGATAAATAAATGAACATCAACTTTTCAAGTAAACTCCATCATGACTTGTCACAGCTGGTAATATATAAACTAGCCTTGCCCACCATATTATGACAACTAAACCCCTCTTCGACTCTTTCTCCTTCCCCTTTTGTCTGGTCCACCTCTAACTAAACTATCTGCATCCAGACGATCTTGTGCATCTTGCTCATCATCATCATCATCATCCTCACTACTAGTAGCACGGTCTATATCGACATCAGTCTCATCAGTTCCGTCCAAACCCTTTCCATTATTAGCAGTAGATTTTTTCTTCTTTTGAAAATCTTGAATATGCGCGTCGGCCAAAACTTTAGTAAAAGTTCTTTGTGGGCGACGGCGTGTCGAACTGGTGTTGGTCTGCTGGCGTGAGAGACCACTTGTGTGGGTGCGCTCTCTATCAAGTGCCGATGATATTTCATTTGTTTCAACAGGAGTAATAGGCTGAGACTCCTCCGATTCTCCGGACTCCAGATCATATGGCAATGCAACATCGCGGAATGCTTTAAAACGAGCAACGTTGGAACAATGTTCGTTCTCAACACGGAATAATGTCCACATTCCTCTGCGAGTAATTTCGGAGAATCCGACAAAAAAGGATACGGTACTGCTGTGCTGGAGGTTGTGAGTATATATCGAGTAAAATATCCAATTAAATCGAAGGATTGGATCGATAATCATAGCTGCATAGTACCACCAGGTACTCTTGAATCCTCTAAGATCGCGAAGAAGTGGCTTATTAGCTCCAGGTTGAAGCAGAGACCAATCCATCAAAAGATCCCAGGTACCTGTATTTGATCAGTTAAAGATCACGAATCATTAAGGATAAAATACTTACTGACGTATACCGCATTTAATGCAGCAAAAAAGCTGAATACAATTAAATTCGTCCTATCTCTATCTATTCTGTAGATGCTTAAAGTTACATAATATACTATGGTCATAGCATATTTACCACCATTGACTATCATGTTGATGAGCATACGGATGTATATAATATTAAATAACCTGGAGTAATTGCTTACCTAAATGCGGGAACATATTTTTAGTATCATGGTAACGTCGGAAGCATTGAAGTAAACGCCATATAGCTGGTAAGGTCGAAAAGAATCCAAGAAGACGAGAGTTTGTGGAATTGCATTTCGTAGGATTATGCCAGGATGTCGCATAAAGGCAAAAGAAGAGCTCTATATTCTGTTCGATGCGTGAGATTTGATCTATAATTCATTTGACGAAGAAACTTACACTCGTTAGATAGGTAAGGGAGCAATACATATCACCCAAGAAAAAATCTCTAAACTCTACGGGGTATAATCCAGCCAAAAGTAAACGCCACTATTGAAGATGAGTACGAGTTGTATGTAGTAAAGTGATGAGAGACCTACATGAGAATAAACAAACCATTTCCGGCTCCTGTGAAAAATTATAGGAGCAGGCATAAATATTATCACGACTGTAACGAAGATCAAAATGATGGGATAGTATATAAACATTTCTGGTGTTCCGTAGCCAGAGAAGTTGATCCACAAAAATAGGCCGAATAGAAGAATGAGAAATGCTGGAAATTCGCTAAGTTGTCGCCAATCCAGATCATGCCGAGGATCAAATTCGAAAACGAATTTGTAGTTAATTTTGTGTCGAGTCCATACACTGCAATCGAAACAAAATAACGAAAATAAATATAACCCGAGAAAGTATCCACCGTATATTTGCAGCAGATATCCGGTTTGAAATTGGATCACAGGATCGGGGTGATCCAAGTACTCAGTACCGGAGATGACTCCCTGGATCGAAAAGACAGCACCAATTCCAATCAGCACCCCATTTCTGAATGCACTACCGGACTGGTCCATCGATTTTCCAACAGTCTTGCGCAATTTTCCAACCGCAATTTTATGATTACCCTTTTCAAAATATCGTGCGTACAAATCTTCAACCGTATGTATGTGCCCATCAAGTACATCACTATTGACGAACCATGCCTTACTAACCTTTTCCGTCATGAACCGAAGGGGGGGATGCGCATTGGTTGCCTTGTCATACTTCTTGTTGATCTTACGAAACGCGGTCCGATTCAATAGCGCGTAGGACTTTAGAAGTTCCATACCCCGGTAATGTTCTTGCAAAGCCAGCTTCAACTTTCGTTTCGCGGTTCGATAGGATACATCGTTTTCGAAAGGCCGTCTGACATAATCGCGGTTGCCGTTTGTTGCAACTCCGTCGTCTGGTTGAGACTTAAACTGCAACTCGGGCGAGTTTCTCATACTAGCTAATGCCCTAGAGTTGGCTCCTGGATGTGGCCCTAATGCTGTTGCTTTTGCATTATCTACCATTCTCCCAAAAGGCGCCAGCCAAGCAATTCGATGTTCTTGAGAGGAATGCCTGTTGAGATCTTGATCTCCAGAATGCCCACGAGAAATCCTTCCCATTACTGAACGCTCGTCATCTTTACGTATTGACCTTGCATGTTCTGCTTCTGCCACTTCTTGTATCCTGCGGTTTCGCATCTCATGCAATTGTTCTCTCAAAACCTGTAATCTGATTCCCGCCTCATCCTCCTTGGACCTGTAAAAAGTTTCGACCTTGTCAAGCTCTTTATCCATCCAAGAGAGAAATTCTTGCTGACGTATTCGTACATGATCAAAGGCAACCATATCGACGTCAGGACGACTGTGTGGTTTAGATAATGGAGTGCCAACTGAGAAGATTCGCTTCAGGATCTGCTGCCCATGAATATCATGGGATTCGGCGCGCGACCCGGGGGTTCTCAGTGAAGCAAACTTGGGTCTAGTCGGACTTTCAGTTGTACCCACCTCATATGCGCTCTGATAGGCTGACATAGGATTCCTTTCTGGGGTTCTTGATGGTACGTCAATCTCCAGAGAATTTTTCCTACTTGAAACGGTGGACATCATACGCTCTGAGGATTCAAGGGGAGAGTCAGCTTGTATCGCTGGATCTGGGAGTTCGAAATTGTGCATATCCATGGCAGGAGGGGTTGGCACAAAGCTGCCGTACATTCCATCTTGTGTATGCTCTGTGGGTACACGCCTACTTGCGATTGGTATCGATGAAGCAGGGTTCGATGACGCCGTTTCCTCCCCAGTTCCGTGAGATGCCTCGTATACCCTCCCGGAAGCTGACTGAGGACGGTCGGTCGTACCATCAAACCTTCCGGACGGTTGAGGCCTTCTTGGGGCGAGAGGGGATGTAGCACCGTATATACTGCCACTTTGAGGATTCAAATTTGTTCGCGCATCTGATCGAGGGGTTGCATTTATACGATTGGTTGCACGAGCGACTGCTTTGACCATCTTCTTGCCTTGCTTATAATCGAGGTATTTTACACGCCATTCTATACAATCGTCAGTAAGAATGCGAGTTGAAATACACGTAAATACTGGTGAATATCATACCAGGCACGAGGCTCTGCTCCAGCTCCTTTGCAAACTTCATGGTGACTCGGGTATGTTCTTGGTAGGACGAATTCTTGGGTTTGTCTTAAAGCGATGTGAGTGAGATGTTGGACAAGATATATCCCCTTAAAGCTTTCTGTATTGCGTTTCTACCCGGATTGATTTGAGATAATGCATAATCCGTTCATCGGAAAAGTGTGTGACCATTTCTGTGCTGGGCTCGGGGTTCTCAGTTGTTAGTTGATCAATTGATGTTTTGGTATAAGTTAACCTAAGAAGTCAATTCAGGTGCTCGGGCAATCAATCAACAAGGTCTTAAGCATCAATTCTAGATTTGGACGTTCTTATCAGAGATGTGGAGAATGATTTTGTTTCTATCATTTCTGATTGGCTAATACTGTGAAATCATCCTTATATGGAGTGAAACAAGCCACTTTGAGCCACTTTGAGCCACTTTGAGCCACTTTTTGTTTTTCTGTGTGTATTATGTAATACATGATACTGGAGGTATCATGTACAGCTGGAGGTGACAACTAACTTACTCTTTCATGACTGGCGTTGAGTCTTGACTTGGTTATTCCAAATATTCTTCCAATAGCAACTTTAATAACAATTTTTGATTGCCATCATTCATAAAAGCCCAACTCATGGCTCGGACTTCATATATATATCTGTCCCTGTTTCTTTGCCCCTGGTCAGCTCCCCCTTATTGACTCAGACCATCATCATTTGAACCATCTATAGGTCGAGTGGTGTGGCGGTCAAGCCTAAATCGAGGGTTTGCTCCTAAGTTGGGCGGTAGCATCCATTTACTGATTATTTCTTATCAATCATAATATTTTATGAGAATATAGAAGATTATCTTGAATGCCCAGGTTGAACTTCTGTAATGGGTTAGAGATACCCTGAGATCAACAGTTTTAGCAAAGTGGTTGTTTTAACCTTTTGACTAATATGATCAAGGGGATACGAAAATCTGGGGTAGGGCTACTTCAGCCACTCAATCATCAATTGGATGTATTTTCTTAATATAGATCTGATGTAGAGTCTTTTTAAGGGTGCTCGAGGGATTTAGGAGTGGAACATGGCTGATATGTTAAGGCTGAAACATATCCAGAAGTCCTGGAGCCAATGCTTCTAGACACGTGATTCTTATCACATGATTTTTCTAGGGAAGGTAATACTTGTCTGCCAGACAAGTGATGTTGGCATTGAATGAATAGTGTTCAATGCTAACTTTCTTGCTATGAGCTTATCAATGATGTAGGAATTCATCAGCAGTGATTACTGTTGCACGTTTAACAACCGTTTTCAGTAAACTAAAATTCCCTTCATTGCTTTCAAGTCTGCTTGGTAATAACAAATTCTCTTGACTTGGTTCTTCAATTCATGTTTTCATGATGACATTTAACTGGGCTATACTATCTATACATGCATCCTACCATCAGTTTAAATATAAGTCTGTGTTGATGGCATATGATATGTTTTCTGTGGTTCTTGCTTTAACTCTTCATTCATATTTCACAGAATTATATTTGCTCCTTGTGCATACTATACTCATGATTGACTCATTGGGACTTTCTGAACACTCTTAGCTATTTTTCATCAACACTCTTCACCTGCAAGCTTTTCTATCCAGAAATAAATCTAGTCTAGATAAATATACACTCCGAACCATCCAGGTTCGTAGCGAATGATATAAGAATTTCTCGATGCACAAAATATTTCAGAAACTACTAGTATTGACCGGAGATGCTTATGTATAGAAAGCTTCATTGTTTATCTATATAAAGTGAGACTTATTCTCAGTTATTTTTATGCACCCCAATTTAAAAAACTTGCTCAAAGGTAGCAGAGATTCCTCTTGAATGCCGCCTTAAACCTCAATTAGATCGATCTAGTCTTTATCACGTCTATTTGTCCAATCAAATGTCGTTGAACTTCGTCCGATCTTGTTCGTTGCCTTCAAGCTAAACTCATCTGCACAACTCTTGCAATCAAGATAGATACATTGACTCGAATGCTACCTCCAGCTGGCCAACGCTTAGTTGTGGGAACTAGTCAAAATGTATGAACCCTTAAAACAACTATTCACTGAGATCGACCTGAGCTAGAAGCCGGTGGATCTCTTCAAAAGTATCAATTGTGAGCAAGTTGAATGCTAGTTGATATCAAACCAAGCACCTTGTCGGCCCATCAACAGCTCTTCTGATATCGGAATGTCCCTTGCTACCCTTGTCAAACTAGTTCAACAGTTTTTTTTAGAGCTCCCGACTCCCAATCACCTCATAGTTATGAAGAGAGATAAAAGTGTTCGCTTCTTCCCCTCTTCCCTTGATCTTTCTCTTCGTTACAGTCACAACAGCACTTCCACCCTACTCTTTTTCTTCCTTCCAATCCACCTCTACTCTTATAGTATACAATCATGTAAGTTCATATCCAGACTTTTGGTGCATCCTTCAGATCAATCTGCTATGGATTAACAATCCACTCTCCCCACAGCCTTCATAGCTGACTCTAACTAATCGCAGAAGCCTTTTGTTTCATCATAAACATTAGCAATTGAGTTCGAGTGATCTTCTCGAGTTGTGAAACGTAAGTTCTACCTCCTCTACCCAATCCCTTGGTACCAGCTAATCAATCACAGTATATAAATCATGATTACCATCATGCAAATCTCCGTTCTCCTCCTCACCCAAACCGCTCTCGCCACCTGGCCTAAGCGAGGTGTCCCCTTCAACGACGTCTCCCTCATCCAACACTTCAACGGCGGCGGTTCCCAAGTCAACTGGGCCTGGAACTGGGATTCCTACATGCCAACCTCCTTCCCCACCTCCATGGAATTTATCCCTTGTCTCTGGTCCGACTCCTCCGATCACACTTCCAACTGGGCCGCCAACGTCAATGCCGCCATCGCTCGTGGTACCGGTCACACCATGGCCTTCAATGAGCCCGATGCATGTGGGGGAGGTCAATCATGCATGAGTCCTCAACAAGCTGCCAATGCCTGGAAAACCTACGTTCAACCTTTTGCAGGTCGTGTTGCACTGGGTGCTCCTCAGGTTACAAATGGTCCTAGCGGATTGCCTTGGTTACAATCTTTCTTGAGCTTGTGCACTGGCTGCCAGATCGATTTCGTGCCAATTCATTGGTATGAAAGTGTTGGTGGTCAAAATTATTTGGCAGATTTTTATAATTATGTCGGTGCTGCTTATGCGGCTGGTGGAAATCGCCCAATTTGGGTTACTGAGGTATGCTATCCTTTCCATTTCATTCTATCTTTCACTTTAACACATGCTTTCTTATCCATTATCTCCTCTAATCTCAAACAACCTTTTATACCACATTCTTCCTCCCGAAACTTCAAACCCCGCACCCGCAACCCCACACCATCCACCTATCTGACCCCCCGCTAACCTTCCCTACTCATAGTTCGCCCTCTGGAGCCCCGTCACCGAAGCCGACCAAGAATATTTCATCGGCCAAGTGATGCCCTGGATGGACAATCTCTCCTGGGTCTCCCGCTATTCCTGGTTCATGTGCACCTCTGACTACAACCTCGAACCTCAAGGTTCCTTGTGCAATGCGGATGGAAGTTTGAGTAATTTGAGGAATGATTATACTTATTCTCCTTTTTGAGCTAGGGTGCTGTTGTGAAGGGGAGGTGATGAGGTTTCGGGGATAGTGAATGGGGTGATGAAATTTTTTTGTTGTGGGAGATGATTTCGCGGAAAATGGAGAATAGATACCTATGTAGGTAATCATTATAGCTAGCTCTCAGCGGCTCTAGAGATAGAAGGGCTTGAACAATCTTGCTAGTTTTAGCTTTATATTCGGCTTTGAATAAAATAGATCTGTTTGCTACGAATTTTTTGTGGGTTTTGCTTATTTACTTATCGTTGTTGTGAAGTTCGCTGTTGTGGATTTGGTTGTTGAGGGTATGACTCTTGAGATGTTGGTGGAGAGGAATTGTAAGATAGAGATAATTCGCTGGCACAGGTGGTTGATTGTGTATTTTCCTGTGGATCTGAATTGTGGCCTTTTCATCCTCACGCAATTGAGCGTCTTGTTTAATTTCGTGAGTACCTACGTTTTACAACGATAATTCATCATGAATGCTACTTCAGTCAGGGCTCTATGGACCATGGTAAAACTCCCATTATCACAACACCACTTCACCATATATAGTAGCTATCAAATACTACAATCATACCCTACCTATCTAGTGAGAAAATTCATCAAGGAAGACTACGCGTTGCGTCGATGATATATCTCAGTAGATAGGTATGGAGAATAGATATGAAGATTCTTCATCGTGTGTTTGCATGTTTTTTCGAGTCTATCTCTCTGTTCTATCAAAGTGGCATTTTGAATGTCCATCACGCTTTTTTTATTTTGATGACATAGAGGTTTTTGTCGGGGATGAATGTTGGATGTTGGATATACTGAAGTCATTGCTTTAGATTTTTCAGTCCAAGATTGATAGCAAATCATCACTCAAGTTGATTTTCAAAACTCTAGGGATAGATTCCTAATCCTTTTCCTCCGGTACTCGGCCACTGAAATCTTGAAGATAGAACCGTGGATACAGAATCTACAAAATGAGATTCTCAAATCGGAAGTATGGAATATGACTTATTGATAAAATATCTTCTGTTGCCAAAACAAAGGATAGGTAAGTTTTTGAAAGATCTTGTATTCTCGAATAGCATTAGGTTCGCTGTTAAGCTCATTCTATCTATCAGTTGTTAGGTAGCTAGAGATCTTCATATTCATCAAACCCTCGAAGTGCAACATCAACAGGCGAACTGACATCCAACACTGATCATACCTGGCATTCAAGAATCCAAGCACCCTTTCTCCTCCGTCAATCCTCCCCTACCCAACCTCTAAAGATATCACCTCCTCCCCGCGTCGGGGGTGGCCCTCTCAATCAACCCCTAGCAGCCAAAACCCCAAATCACATGAACTTTTCCACACAAAAAGTTTGGTTGCACATCTGAAGTGATCGGTCTCAGCGACGCATTAGAAAACTTGATATAGAATAGGATAAGACCGGTATGAGAGGTTATTTCCGGTGTGGTGGTAAGAATTTGGTTTTGGTGTTGGAAGGGGAGGAAGATGAAGGCGCGGGATTAGAGCGTGGCGTGAGGAAGTATATGCGTAGTAGTGAAGAATGTGGATGTAGGGGGCAACAGGAAAAATCTAGAAGAACCTTTTGGCATTGAAGTTGTTTTTAATCTAAGACGGAGGAAAACGGGTGAAGAGCTTGTTAAACTGACAATGAGTTACTGATCTTTTATTGAAGCGGCGACAATACGTGTGAAGACATGTTTCCCATTCAGAGTAAGAAGAAGAGGCTGTGATTGCGTTCGATACGGGAGAAATATGAAACAAGTATATAAGCTCGATAATTCCTCGACTGAAGAAATCAGTCTTCCCCTATGATTACCGAACACCCAAAGACACTGTACTCGTTGGCTTCATCTTTCTCAAATGATCCATATCTATCATAACACATTTTCTCAAAAGGATTCTCTTCCAATCCCCCAGAATCTCTTTCTTTATCACTGATGTAATTGCTTACTATCCCTAAACCTATAAATGGTAGAATATCGAGCATTTCTTCCTCTTCCTTGTTACCATTTCGCTTGAGAGCTCCCAATCCCAATGTACCCGTATAACTAACAGCAGGTCTTCCGTCTACACCTAGGCTTCCAGTCGGTTTGAAACATTCGAACCATGCTTCTGTTTGAGAAACTAAATCTCCAGAAAACTTTGAGTATTTGGACATACATTTTTTGAACAAGGCGCTGCCTTCCCCTGCTGACTGGCCGGTGAAAGATTGACTAATCCCGTAAAGTTTTGTTTCCTTCTCGAGGTCTATGACTGAGGAAGTAGACTTGTCTTTTGTGTTAACGGAGAATGTTTCTTTTCCTTTGAGTCTTCTGGAAAGTCATCATTTTCGGCCGCAATTCTAACCACACCAACACCCTCCAACAAAGTATCACTCTCTCCAGACCCGTTCAGTTTCCATTAGGACCCAACCCTAAATCATGATACCCCAAGATCCTGTGTCCCACTCCAGGGAGATCGAGATTAAAAGCCAGATATCTGATTTCTTCACTAACCTTATTAGACCCCATTAGCAAATCCAACACATCTTCGACCGGAAAATAGAGAGCTTTCCGCGAATATGCCGCCTTCAAAATCTGTGGGCTCGCTTTCTTTCCAATGAGGGTGATGCTTAATATCCTGATCTTCTACATGTGAAGTGAAGTGAAGTGTAATTGAGGGGTTGATGTAAAATCCTCGAGTAATTTCATAATCGCCGTCAATGAGGAGACCATTTTCATCAAGATATTCATTATCAAGTAGATCCTCACCTAGATAACGAGGTTCGTTACCCAGAAGTCAATATTTGCCAAGCGCTATTGCTCGTGAAGTAGAACATGTGTGCAAAAGAGGGAGGATTCGAGCGAGCGGGGTTAGATTGACATTATTGAATGAGTATGGTTGTTGAGCTTTAGCTCATGGTGATGAATAGTCCAGTTGTAACAAATAGAATTGACCGAGATGAAGTTAGATCGGAAAATAGTGGATCAAATTTATTTAGCGAAGCTTGAAATAATGCTGAGTAAGCATAATGTAACCGTATAGGGCATATTGGAAGATTCAACTCTTTGATTGAATAGAAATGATGAGAAAGAACTGTTGCTTTCTACCTATATGCCTCTTACAGAATATGATGAGAGGTCTTTTGGAAGCATAGAGGACTTTTGGGTGGAGGTAAAGCACGAAGAGTTAACATCTAGTATCCGCACACCCACGTCAGACTGTCTAGAGTCTTGTAGAAGAAGATGGCGGATTTCCAGCAGAATTTGCGCATGCGACCGGTATCAAAGATGGCTCTGAGGGTCATTTTTGACTGAAGCGACAACAGTGAGTGTAGTCAGTATTGCTAGCAAATATTTCATCACATTGTGAATCGCTGGTAGTATTCGAAATTTCTGGCCTCTTTGATTTTGTGCAAGATCTGAAGCCCTTTGAAGACATTACTTGAGTCCTCAGACTCACTTCATTTTGGTAGTTCGCCAGTCACTTCAACAAGACTCGCAGAGGGGGTAGGTACTCCGCGGGTTTTTGGCTTAATCTTCTCTTCAGGAGCAACAAAGTTGGATACTGGCTCATTAGTAGAGAATTGCGGTATAGTAGAAACTTGGAAACTTTTAGAAAAGACTCTTGCTGGTCTGGTGGGCGCAATCCAATCAGGTGTCCTCTCTACAGTCCGAATATTGGTATATCTATGGCGAACAGTCTTGTTCAAAGCATAGCGGGAGAGTCGGCGATATTCGAAATCTAGCCTAGTCCAAAAATAGTCTAACTTTCCCTCAGCACTTTGCATTGCCTCCGTAATCTTTTTGGTTCGTCGCTGGTCACATGGATAGTGGTACCGTCCATCAGTAGGGTCTGCTAGCGCTTTCAATGACTTGAAAGTAAATGTCATATAATGTTCTGTCCTGTGTAACACTGAACACCGGTCTCGTAAGTCATTTTTGAGCCAGTCCTTGTGTGTTTCCTTTTCCATTGGAAAACTTGTTACCAATGGTAGATAAGAATCTATCTCTTGTCTAAGTCGAAAAATTAATCCTAGATTAGAGACTACTCGGGATACCCACGGTGTGATTTTTGCCTTTAATTCGAGGTCCTCTTCAATCATGTGCTTGATCTCGTCCATAATTGCAGGTAAACTTAGGAATGCCTGCTTTTCTGGAGTAAATATTATCTCGAAAAGCTGAATCATAAGATCTTCACTCTTAGAAATTCCTCTGTCAACTTGTTGAGTAGCTTGTCCGGAACCAGAAGTTACCGATAGTCGATGGAACTTGTGGCGAAAAGGCAAGGAAGCCGGAAGTCCCTGAGTCAAGTTATTCATAGGTCCCGTTTGTATGAGTTTAAGCACACTCTTGAGGCCCAATAACTCTCTTAAAAACTCCTCTGGTAGAGAATTTTGCGGATGAATAACAGCGGCATGTTTGACTTGAAGCATACCTAGACGCTCAAGTTGTTGGCTGACGATATCCCAGCTGATTATGTCAGAATATGCATCTGCCACCACACCCCGAGTTAAATCTTCCCAGAATTCTGGCGTGCCCAAAGATGAGCTAGCTTTACCCTCATCATCTAGCACTCTCTCTATTCTATGTTCACTTGCTTCCACCATAGCATCAGCGAAAATACCGGGGTTCTCTCTCAAATCGTGGATATAATCTTCCGCGCTAAGTCGCCTGGCAATGACTACAGCTCGCAAGCGATTGAAATCCAGCTTGGAAGGCAATAGATATGGCGTCTCCATGGCTATTGAAGCCATCGTTGTATTATCGGAAGTCTTTACAAGTAGCGGTGGCTCTGGTTCAATAGGAAGCCTCCATATTGTGGCGACTTCAATGTCCTGAAGAAGCGCCTGACACCAATTCACAAGGAACAAATAAATATTATACTGTATTTCAAGAATCAGTAAACCCTCATGTGGCAAATGTTGGAACCCTGCCAGGATCTTCTCCTTCATCGTTTCGTCTGTCCACCTAACTAGCCGTCCATAAGTCTCCACCGACTCTCCTTCGAGCAGTAAGGTATGATCCTTCAAAAACCGTAAGGATAAAAAACCACCGGCCACACCCAAGTCTGCCGCCCTGAGATCTGCGCTCGCAAAGAGATGAGGAGGATTGCGACCTCGAGAATTAATCAGTAGGAGCATAGACTTCACCTTAGTGAGATCTTCGACATTCAACTGTGGGTGTAGAAAATCATTTCGATGACTCAGGATTTTAGATATCAATTGCCTGGTAGAGGTCGGATCTCTATCAGGGTCCACCTGCAATCGACAAAGTTGTGTGTAGTCTGCGAGATGCGTTTCAGATAATTCAATATCGCAATCTTGTAATATGTTACGTCGCTGCGCGTATGATTTCTTGGTCCACCGTTGCCGAAGAGCTTCCTCTTTGCACTCAATGATGCGGCGCAGTGCTCGATAATTATACAGAATTACTTCCGATAGTCTTCGAGCTAGGTCATCTATCTCCCTATATTTTACTTCGCAGCTCAAAACGTTCAGAGATTTGAGGCGCTCGGCTTTTTCGATCCTGTTGGTGATATCAACCATGGCGTTTATCTGAAATGTGGTTGAGTGTGGATAGGGAGGTTGTAGAATCGATTTGTTGTCTTTCAAGACCGAAGTCGAGCTAACCCGAAAAAAAAAGTTCTTCAAAACGTCAAAAAGACAATCAACTTTTGTTTTGTAGAGTTTGTTATTAGTATGAAATGGGTGGATGAAAGTATAATAAGTACTTAAATATAAATTGTCAAAATATTTGACGTCGGCAAAATTGTAGAAAAGCAGCACTGATAATGGGGTCCTCGGGACTTAAGCACTTCACTAGCTACTATGGTTCCTTCATAGTCACATGATTCATGTTCTGACAATGAGAAACTAATATGGATACTGTAACTAGGTCCACGGGTATTATTGCAATTTGGCTAAGATGCATGTTTGAAATCATTAGAAGTGGCTGTTCTTGCCATCTGATATGTTGATTGGAGGTTCAAAGATTGATGAGGCATTGTAGCTGCTGCAGGTGTAGTATTCAATGGGCGTAGATCATAAAATAGTAACAACAATATTGCCATTGAAATTCGAGACACAAATGTGATGATTAGGTAAGCCGAGAAAGTGATTGTTGACTTATTTCAGCCTCATAGAAAACTTAAGATGATGGAATAAGGACTTGTGGATAATAATTGGTCATTATCATTTCGAGAAATTAGTGAATTCATTCACAAATGATCAATAGATGGAGATTACATTGAAACAACTGTGAATATTTTGTGTGAACTGGGAAATTCCTTGGGCTCCCTTCAACTACCTGAGTATAGAGGCTTTCTCAATGCATATGCTACTTCATCATGATCCATATATAATCACCAAGAATGTACTACTTTTCTGTGATCTGATGGAATAGTGAACAAGTATTGAGATGCAAGTTTGAAAGCTCAGAGTGAGTAGTACTTAGTTCCAGTGTAAAGAGTGAATATCTTGTTCTTCTTTAGCAACTGATGGTCAAACAATTATTATTAGACTAACACCTTTGAGTGAAAATGATATTAGCAAAATCGCAAAGAATTTGCAACAGTTTATAGTCAGTCCAGGATGGGCATATTCGTTCAGTTATTATGAGTTCATACCTATCTAAAGATACTTCTATAAGCTTTCAAAATCTCCAAGGGCTCAGGAGTTAGGGGAAACATCATAACACAACACTTTGTGCCCCAAGCAAACATGCTGCAGCATTAAAACACAACACAGTGACTTTGAGGAAAAATTGATGATTCATTGCTAATAAAAATATCAATTAATGAAAGAAGACCAGCTTGATTGATCCCCTATGGTACTTTGCTAGGCAGTCTCATTTCCTCACACCTATGTAGAAGAAACTCTTCTAATGGGAATATGCATCATGCAGTTCTTTCAATAAGTTTCTCACTGTAGTGTCTAGCCCATCGAATTCCAGAATAACAAATTTTGTATCATTCACACGGCATACAGCTCTTGATTATATATACCCAACTATAGATTAGACAATAATAGAATAGAATACCGTAGATATATTTGAATAAGCAAGAATTTCGGCAGGGAGACTGTTCTAAAGTCAGTCCTTTCGAAAGGCATTAGAACTGAGCCATTGAATAACGAGTCACAAAAAGCTACACAGCCAAATGAGGAACTTGAGAGCTGAGAGCAAAATATATGAAGGAGTGGTTTTCTAACACCCCCCAAACATACAATACCAAAGATCACACCATAGGTGTTTCAATGTTCCACTAGGAAATCAGGAAACTAAATAATAGCTAATCGCAATATCATATAAACACGCCCGTCAATCGTCACCTTAACATCATCTCATCCCCCTCTCTTTCACAAATGGCATATGTTACATACTCAAACACACGAAAACCACCGCATGTAGCATGCACAGCTGATTCTATAAACAAAAACATACAGAGCAGCAGAAATATCAAGCATCATATCGTTTCATCATACTCATCACCACTCCAAGTACGCCCCAAGATAAACCAAATCACCTCATCTCATCTCATCTCACCCCATGATCACCGCTCACCGTTCATCTTGTTCAACCCACCACACACATATCCACCAGGCCACCGCCTTCCTCCATACAAATACCCGAACCACATCACATTTCTCGTCAACACACAAAATCGGCTGTATAGCCGTGTTGGCAAGTCCCAGTCCCAGTCCCGTTAATAAAGTCCCAAAAGTCCCAATTGTTGTACCTTGATGAGGAGCCACTGGCCAGGTCACAGTCAAGAATCGTGTGGTTTGCACAGCTCACGTGAGTAGAGAAATATAGCGCGTGATGGATTCAATTATCTTTTTAGACTTTTTATGCCATCGATATTTGATTGTTGAAAATGCCCAATTTTGAGAGGTGACGACGTCGCGTGAGATAGAGAGGTAAATTTTGATCCTCTTCATTCCATGTATTTTGCGACATGTTTGTGATCTCACCGAAACAATGACCCTTGCATTGTTTTATAATGTCGTTGATTCATTAAAGAGATTTTTTTTTTCTCATATTAATTCCAGTCAATTCCTTTCTTTTCCCAAAGTTCTATTCAGCCAATTTTCTAATGCGTCGCCGTTTCCAATAATCTGGATTTCCGCCTTCTTATTTAGCATCAACATGACTTGAATCTCTCTTCTCCATTCGTCTTCATCTCCGTCCTCTTGACATACATCTCTTTGCAGCATCTTCACTGCGAGTCGTCTATCGCGTTCCGTTAATGTTAGTAAACCCTCGTTCTCTTTCCCTCCTTGCATCATGTCCTTACTTCTAAATCCTAGCCAAAGCATGGAGGGGACGGATAGATTTTCGTTTTCATGTGCGAGTGCGACAGAGCCATGTTTGTATGTGGACATAATGCCTATACCGTCAGGATCAAAGTCTACCAAAGCACATATCGGTATTGTTGGATAATGCTTCGACAAATAGTGGAGAAATTGTCGACTTTGTATATCAGGATAACCTTTTGCCTACTATGATCAGGCCCTGCGCATGATGATAGAAAAAATACTCCGGTTTACATACTGTAAGTAATATTCCTCTCCCCGCAGTCGAATATTCCCAATATCGCTTTTCTGCCAATGTACGAAACGTCGCCTATCTGCATTCAGTGATGTTGTAAGCTCGTATTAAAGTGTGCCAAACCTCTTTTTCAATTACTAGTATCCATTTAACCCGCGAGAGGTCCATCTCTTCTATTTCTTTTACCCATGGTACTAGTCGTGACTACAAAATCAGTGAGAAGGTGTGACACAGAGAGAGTCCCTAGGAGCAAACATCTGCTGCTGAAGAATAATCCATTGTGGACTGATTCCTTCCCTTCATAATGAACCAGCCTGTAACCAATCCTTTGGCAGCGGCCATCTGCAAAGTGCAAGTCAGCCAACAATTGACGCTGTTGCGGCAAGGACTTCACTGACCACATTCAGAGCGTCGCGCTTCAGTCCAAGGGTACACGCGATGTCATCTACGAAACGATCGACAATTGCTTGTTTCGTAAAAAGCTCTGGGTCTCGATAATACATGTCTCTAATGATGCATTGTCAGTCTGAAACGGACATCAGTGCCAAGTGATGATAGTAGTATACCTTTTGGTGATGATGTTTCCAGTGACCAGCGCCTCATGAGAAAGTTCCAGAATCCGTAGCAACGCAACTATATTGACATCAGTAAGGGATGTCAAACAAAGACATTAGATCTACCAAATTTCCACGTCTCTCGAGGCGAGGAGCTGGGAAACTGCACAATCCTTGAAGTAAAAAATTCTTTGCTCCCTGAACTTGCATCTTTTGTGCCCCGACTTCGAGATTTCAAATGAATGGAAAATTGTTTGCTTCGTCCGATCATACAATCAGTCATGGCCTCGCAAATTTCTTCGATCTTGCATATGGCAGATCCTGTTTGGTAAGATTGTGTAGAGGTGTCCCTTGAACTCAGATGTTCAATCTTCTCGGGCCTTGATAATGGTGTTGTCAACAGAATGGTAACATCACTATCTTTTCCGTGGTGATATGAAGCGGATTGCTGTTTATAACTGTGATCTATAGAGTCAGTTCCACTGATTAGTCTTTTGGCAGGTGAGTCATGTAGCAACTGAGACGATGAAGACGGCGTATCCTTCAGACTATCCTGTAGAAGAACAAAGTCCATGGCACTCTTAAATTTGATTCGACATCTATCGGCTGGAAGTGCATCTTCATCAACGGTTGATGTTTGAATGTTTGACGTCTGATGTCTAAATTTGGAACATTTGAAGATCCGTGGGGAAGACGGGAGACGAGAAAATGTGGAATACGCTAAAATAGAGTGACGGTGATGATCTCCAACTGCCATTTTTGACCGCCTTGTTGGCCCCTGAAATATCTAGGGTCCACCAAAGCTTGTAACTTTATTAGAATTAGTTATACAGTTGATGTTTTGACAATTGTATCATATCATTCGAATTTAACCTTTCTTACTATGGCGAGAACCAAACTTAATTCTATGGGTGACACCGAGACCAAACCAAAGACGGGCGAAAAAAGATCATTTGATTCTTCAGATACTACGCAGACTACAAAACGGCCAAAATTACAGGAACGTACAGATTACTCTCGATGGCGTTTGCTCGACGAGAGAGGTAGGCAGACATGGCATTACCTTGAAAATGACGAAGATGCTGCGGAATGGCCTCAAACAACTGCAGACAAGTATTTCTTAGGATTGCCAACAGTATGGAAATCGTACTTTGTCATAACATCATTGCTAACAGCATTGACAGGGTTTACCGGATCTTCCAAAAGCTCAGAGTCCTCTTGATTCCGTCAACAATTGCCTCGAATTCTTTAAACAACTTCAGCTTCCTCCTGGCAATTGGGCATGTGAATATGGCGGGCCGATGTTTCTGCTTCCTGGCTTGGTTATCACTTGGACTGTCACCGAAACTCCAATCCCGGATCATATTGCGACAGAAATAAAAAATTATCTATTTGCAAGAGCGCACCCGGATGATGGGGGATGGGGTTTACACATTGAGGCAGAGAGTAGCGTTTTCGGGACTGCCATGAACTATACTGTTCTTCGATTGGTCGGAGTCAGTGAAGAGGACGAACGAATGGTTAAAGCTAGAGGAACATTACACAAGCTTGGTAGTGCTAAGAATGGACCGCATTGGGCAAAGTTCTGGCTGAGCGTACTCGGTGTATGTCAATGGGATATAGTCAATCCCGTACCGCCCGAGTTTTGGCTGTTGCCTAACTGGGTGCCTTTCCATCCTTGGAGATGGTGGATTCACATGCGCCAAGTATATGCACCTATGTCATTCATCTGGTCGAAGAAGTTCGCATACAAAACGACACCCATTGTTGAGCAGTTACGACAAGAGCTTTTTGTCGAACCATATACAGCTATCAATTGGGCAGGAAACCGAAACAGCATTCATCCAGGAGACAATTATCATCCCAAATCATGGCTCCTAAACACAGCAAATTGGTTTCTCGTCAATATCTACAACCCATATCTCCGGACCGATGCATTGGCAAAGCAAGCCGAAGATTGGGTATTCAAACTGATTCAAATGGAAGATAAGAATACCGATTTCTCCAATCTCGGACCTGTCAATGGACCCATGAACTTCCTCGCGTGCTATATTCGAGAGGGGCCTAATGCGTATTCGGTACAACGACATCGAGAACGAATGGCTGACTTTATGTGGGTCAAGGATGAAGGTATGCTGATGAATGGAACAAATGGAGTGCAATGCTGGGATACGGCATTTTTAATTCAAGCCGTGATGGACGCTGGTTTGGCTGAAGATCCGAGATGGAGACCTATGTTGACTAAAGCACTCGAGTTTCTTGAGGATCAACAAATTCGAGAGAATGTCGACGATCAAGATATTTGCTATCGTCAGCAACGAAAAGGAGCATGGGGTTTCAGTAACAAAGATCAAGGATATGCTGTCAGTGACTGTATCTCCGAAGCTTTGAAAGCCGTTCTACTTTTACAACGAACGCCTGGCTATCCAACTTTGCTGGAAGATCAACGAATTTTTGATGCCATTGATACTCTTCTCACATACCAGAATCAATCTGGCGGCTGTGCATCTTATGAGCCAACTCGAGGTTCAGAAGCCTTGGAAATGTTGAATGCAGCTGAGGTATTCGGTAGAATCATGATCGAATACGATTACCCCGAGTGCACAACCGCTGTAGTCACAGCATTATCATTGTTCTCAAAATACTATCCGGATTATCGTGCATCCGAAATCAAGGCTTTCAAGGGTAGAGCTATTGAATATATCCGAAGAGCCCAATATGCCAATGGTAGCTGGTATGGCAGTTGGGGTATCTGTTTCACATATGCTGGCATGTTTGCTCTGGAAAGTCTTGCAAGTATTGGAGAAACCTACGAGAACAGTGAGAATGCCAGAAAAGGATGTGACTTTCTCATTTCCAAGCAGAGAAGTGATGGTGGATGGTCTGAAAGCTATAAGGTACGCAGCCTCTCGCTTATGATTGCCAATAGTTCTAACATCTCTTCAGTCTTGTGAACAAGCGGAATATATTGAGCATCCATCTGGTTCTCAAGTTGTACAGACAGCGTGGGCATGTATTGCTTTGATTGAGGCCAACTACCCAGATCGTGCACCAATCGAAAGAGGATTGAAGCTTATCATGAGCCGGCAACAAGCTAATGGCGAATGGCTGCAAGAGGCCATTGAGGGTGTATTCAATAAAAGTTGCATGATTTCGTATCCCAACTACAAGTTCATCTTTCCAATGAAAGCATTGGGATTGTTCGCCAAGAAATATGGAGATGTTAGACTTTTGTAATGACACAAGGGGCAGGAGACTATCGAATCTAGGTCTCGGAATGGCGTAATGACTATATATAACAGCTATTAGCTTAATGTAATGATACTTATATCTATACTTGGTTGGATAGTATATTCTCTAGTGAATGCACTTATATAGATAGATCTCCAGGGAAAATCAATACACTTGGTGAATAGAAACCAGTCAAATCTAATAACAACGCTAGACGACCTCGAGACGACCAAGCTTCGCTCTAGCTTCTGTACTAAATCATAACCCCGCCAATGTTAATGTTTGCCAGTTTTCAATTGGTTCAATTGGGTGGCTTATGCTCCACATAGCGCTATACTACAGGCTACCGACAAGGCTGAAGATTGAACCATCGAACTTTCCAGTTCAATTATTACTCGAGTCCCAATAGATCAAATCTATAAATGAATTCATCTCCCCGTTTCTTCTCCAAAAGTTTTCTCGTTATTCTCGAACATTCAGACTCAATAATTTCACAACAGATAAACATATCAATTCAAACATTACCAAGTACACAAACACATCATGTCGACTCAAGCAGCTCTCGGCGCTGCCGCCATCGATAAGAAAGATTACCCCGCGGCCATCGAACACTTGACCAAAGCTATCGCGGAAAGTCCTACTTCTCCAACCTACCTCATTTCTAGATCTATAGCCCACCAACGTGCTAAGAATTACGAAGCATCACTCGCAGATGCAGAAGCCGCCGTCCATGCAGCTATCGCTCGTTCTCGTCGCGAACTAATTGGTACCGCTCACTTTCGTCGTGCAGTCGCTCTTCATGGTCTAGGCAGATATGGGGATGCGAGATTATGTCTGGCCTGGTGCATGCAAAAGAATCCAAAAGAAAAGGCTTTGACTATGTGGCAGGCAAAGGTCAAGATGGATTACGAAAATGCGGGTGGTGAGGAAGCGGAATGTAATAAATGTACTGTGAAGGAAGTTCCTGATAAGCAGGCTGCTGTCAAGCCGTCAGTAAAAGATCCTAAGGGCAAAGGTGTAGAGGGTTCTTCGAAAGCTTCAGCCGCCGCTCCTGCAGTAACTGCAAAGGAAAATATTAGACAAGAGTAAGGATATTTGCTTTCGATGTTGTAAAATGAGGAGCTAATAGATTCCGCAGGTGGATTCAATCGAACTCGAAGGTTACAATCACCATTTATGCAAAAGGTGTCGCGAAAGACACTGCACAGATCAATATCGAAGATGGACAGGTATGACACTATTTCCGAGCTCCCAAAGTTGCAGCAATTAACACGTCATAGGTTGAAGTTTCATTCCCAATTGGACAAACTGGCAACACATACGATTTCACCGCTTCACCACTTTTCGCGCAAATTGATCCCTCGCAGAGCAAGTTCAACATCACTCCCTTCAAGATCGAGATCGAATTATACAAGATCAAGCAAGGCCTTAAGTGGTCCAAATTAGAAGGAACCGAGCCCATCACCAGCATATCCACCGAGGAAAAGAAGTCCGAAATCCCCGCTGCAGTCCTAAACCCCTTGGCCGAAAAGGCGCCCTCTTACCCAACGTCCTCTCGAAATGGTCCAAAGGATTGGGATGCCCTCGCCTCGTCTGCTCTTAAATCTGAAAAGAAGGAAGGAGCAAAGGATACAAGCGGAGACAGTGATGGAGAAAGTGGTGATCCTATGGATTCTTTCTTCAAGAAACTTTATAAAGATGCGGATCCAGACACCAAGAGAGCTATGATGAAGAGTTTCCAAGAAAGTAATGGCACTGCTTTGAGTACTAATTGGTCGGATGTTAAGAAAGCTCCTGTCAAGACTCAACCTCCAGAGGGCGTTGAGGCCAAGAAGTGGTAGATGGGGAAAATGGAGGAGTGTGATAGTGTGAAAAAACATGGGAGGAAAAGTTGATGGAGCATTATACCATCCTGGGGAGTTTAGGAGTGGACTTTTATGATATGAAATGGGCTGGCGTTTGGGTTATCATGAATGAAAGATCTATCTAATCAAATCCTTAAGCACTCGGAAAGATTCACAATATCCTAAATACTGAAATTTTCTCATGTAGCGTAAAATTGATAACTAATACCTATTTTCTAATTTGGTCAAGTGATATCATTGTATACTTTTATCTACATCCGTATTTGTTGTAGAACTTCTTTGCGTGTACTGAAACGACAGTCATCATCATTCCACCCTCGAAGGAAGTCTTTAAGTATCCACAAACTGTCCAATCTTGATATAGAAGAGTCTCGAGATCCAGAGAAAGAGATAGATACTCGACTATATGATATGCCCAGGTAGTCATAACCACTCCTGATTTTGGAACACTAAACCGCAAATTCGAAAGCAAAACAGTATAAGAAAGAGGAGTGCTGGGTACTGGATGCTGTAACTTGAGATCATATGTATAATTTGAGATCACAGATTATAGATTGACTTGCAAGCGGAAACGGACAAAAGAAGGGGGAAGAGGGAAAGATGAGGATACTTGTCTTTTCTGGGTGGTGCATATGTTGTGGTGAGTCGAGTATACTCATTGAGGATAAGATATAGATTTACCTTGATACAAGAGGAGACTTCGCCAGGGTTTTACTTCTGATAGGTGAAATGAAGATACAATTTGAGAGATCTTGGCCCACCACTAGTTCGAAATTCCTGAAAAGATTCTGGTGAAAATGATAATGAAGATGGATGACATGTCAGACTATTAAATCTAAGACTTTTTGCTTGTAAAACTTTCGTCATATTCTTGGGAACTGCTTGGATTGAGAGCTGTCGAGATTGAGGGCTTTCAAGCTCGCTTCTTTTACCGTTACTTCTTCTCCATCACTTCTTCCAAAGTAATGCGTTACAACGTTCAAAAAACGCCTCCGATGTCTCCCAGAAACAGCAGCAGATATAATCCAATTGATTATATACTCTCCACCGACACTTGCAGGCCTAGCACCATCGATTTGCAATCACCAACTCCATTAATACCAACCGTCTCTCAAATTCCAGCTGGTAATGCATTCAATGAGTTTCACGGTGGACGTCGGATTTGCAAATCATGTATTCCCCGTTCTCAACAATATCGATGTCCTCGGATTTCTTCTCGAAAGCGCCCAGCCGCTCCACCTCAGACTTTTAAATTCTTCCTCGATTTGCCTATTGACATTCGATTTGAGATATGCCGCCTGATATGCAATGAAGCACGACGAATTATTCCTGTCGTAGTTCATTGGTCTCTGCTCAAGCAATTCTTCCTTGCTCTAATCACACCACGTACCCCGAACATTCTTCACGTATGCCGAAAATCTCGTGAACATGCACTCAAATACCATTTTTCACTTGTCAGCAAGCAACTTTCTCACGAACTACCCGAGCCCGCTGTGCTTCGAGGTTATCTCTCCTACTATACTCATAGAAATCCACGGATCACCAGTTCTTCACCATCTCGACGGCCTGGCCTTCGATCTTCGGCTTCGATGACCTCGTAATATGTACGTCAATTTTGAAACGGATATTATATATTCTACGGCTCGTACAATGGATCATGCGGATGAGCGGAGAAATCCTCATGTATCCTTCAAATGCGATGCTTGTTTAAAGGTTCATTTTCCTCTATATGATGCTTTATATCACATGTTTGGAGATCCGAGCCCGAAATTGAAACACGTTGCGTTGAATTTAGCAGTTCCGGGATTGGGCATAAAATCTTGCCATATTGGAAATTTCTCCAAGTTCAAGAACTTGGGAAGGATTCCCTTATGCATGGAGAAACCAAATCAGGATTTGAGCAGTGAATTGGTCATGCAGAAGCTGAAGCCCAAGCATCCGGCACCGTTGCAGTTCGGAAGCCTTAATTTGATCCAAAACTTTTACAGTTCTCACGATGGGATTTTCTTTGTCCAGAAAAATATTTTTTTACCAGTATGGCGACCGCGGCGGGTGAGCGTGGGTTGGCTTCTGCGGAGGAGAATATTCTAAAAGAAAAAAATTAAATTGAATACTCTACTTTCAGACTACTCCTGTTTTGAGCCACTCTTTACTATTAAAAATCCCAAAAAATAGAATTTTTAACTTTCTTATTTATAAATAAAATTTATTGAAAATTTGTATATATATAATTCAAATCGTTTTAAATCTAATCTGAAAATTTTAAATTTTTAAGATTTTTCTATATTAAAATCTAGAACTTTAAAATATCGATTTTTTAATTTATATAAAAATCATATATAAATTTAAAACTTTTATAAAATCTTTAATAACTTTTTAACAACAATTATTAAAAGAAAACTATATATTTTTTCGAAAGTTTTAAGCTTAAATCTATATAGAAATTCAAAAAAAAATTCAAAAAAATTAATAGATATAAAGATATAGTATAACTATAGTGAGTTTTAGTGAGTTTGAAGTAATATTATCACAATATACACATGATCGCGTCCAATCAGACTAGTACGATATTAAGTTCCAAGCCAATCATATATATAGCTTTATAGTATACTCTCTTTAATTTTATAGTTTTTAATTTTAAAATTGATTTTTAAATATTTATTAGATTCATTATATTATTAAAAGCTTTTTTAAATAAAAAATACAATAATATTAATATATATTTATAAATAAAGCTTTTATATATACTTTACTTACTCCTATCTAAATATATCACTTCTACTCTCTTGTTTGTATATAAATCTTTTTAATATTATTTGAAGGTATTGTCTCTTTTCTTATTCTTAATTTTTTAGTTATAAATTATAATTTGATAAACCTTATAATTATAAAATTTTATAGCGAAATAACTTATTAGTAAAATGAAATCTTATTTTTATACTTCTTAATTCTTGAAAACACTTTTATTACTTAAATATTTTCTTGACTGAAACTTTTTCTTTTTAATTTCAAAAAGTTTAATAAAAACTTTTAAATATTTAATATATAATTATTTTTAATTTAAGTAAAACTATAAATAGATAATATTATAATTAATAATTTTATTATTCAATTTTACTATATTTATTTCAATCTTGAATTTTATATACAAGCTATAGTATTACCTTAACTTTTTTTTTTAATTAAAATATTCTTTTAAATTATATAATAATTTTAGATCAATTTATATATATCTATAACAATCTGAATAAAGTATAGGAAGTTGAAGATAAGTTATTTAATCTTAAACAAAAAATTAATTTTTTATATATTTATATTGTAAAATTTGAAAGGATTTTTTATAAAGCAAAAGGCTAGAATTAATCCAATTTGAATAAAGTTTTAATCTTTTGTAATAGATTTAATACTACTCTTAAAAATTATCTTTTTTAATAACTTTTGTTATTCCACTTATATTTCAACTTTATTTAGATTATATAATAATTAGTTATATATACAACAAATAGATTCTCTATATTATTTTATTTTAATAAATTTAAAGCTTTATATTTATTATAGAATTTATTTTATTGTTGAAATTATAATCTAATGAATATTAATAATTTTAATATCCTTAATACTTTTAATATCTTTTTGAACAAAATTGATTGTACTTTAATCTCATTTTATATCAGAGTATTTAAGTTTTTTTTTACTAAAAGAACTCAATTATATAAGGAAAACAAATGTATTTAATATGGAAATGCTTTTTATTAAGTATAATTCTATTCGCTTGATTTATATTAAAACGGTTAAAATTGAAAAAACCCTGTCCTAATTGTTATACTCATTTTTATTAACTTTTACAATGATAATAATAATAAGAATAATAAGGACTTAGGCGAGATGATTAACGGCTGATATTTTAAAGATTACTTAGAAGAAGCATAAGCTTTTACTAACATTTTCCATTTAATAATAATATATTTAATCTTTCAAGATATTTTATAAAAAATTGATAAAGAAAATGATAATAATGATAATAAAAAAGAATTTTATTAATTATATTTTATATTTAAATTATTTGTTTAAAGCAAGTTTGAGGCGAATTTTTTAAAAAAGGGGGGTAATATTATAATATACATATGATTATATTCAATTAGGCTAGTATAATACTAAGTTTTAAATTAATTATATATATAACTCTATAATACATTCTTTTTAATTCTATAACTTTTAATTTTAAGGTTAATTTTTAAATGTTTGTTAGGTTCATTATAAGTGTCACGGGTTCAATACATAGTTATATGAATGCCTAAGGCATTTATCCTCTATATAGTCGATACTTCTCCATCTCCTTCTTTACTTTTTGTAGAATATTATATATTTTATTTAATATTTATTTCTTGTATTATGATAATATATTTTATTTTATAAAAAAAATCTTGTTATAGTAAGAGTAATTTGATTTGAAAAGAAATTCTTTATTTTTGTTTTTATTTATTTAAAACAAATCCTTTTATAGTTTTTATAATCTTTTATATCTTTTATATTTCTTTATTTTCACTTTTATTTTCGTTTTCGTTTTCGTTTTTGTTTATATCTTTGTTTTATCCTCTTTATTTATTATGGCTGATATATTGGGCATTTTGAGTATTAGCTTATTATCATTTGTTTTATTTAAAATATTTAGAGTTGAAATTAATAATGTTTTTAATTAATAATAATGAATTATAGAAGAACTATTTAGCCTTTAGGATTATAAACTTTATAGTCCTCTTTCCTTATTAATATTAATATAAGATTAATAGAATTATCTTAATTATCTATATAATGTTATTAATTATATAACGTAGTTTATTAGTGGATCGGCTATATCAATAGATCGATTACTTTTATCTCGAATTATTATTCTATATTCAATATGCGTTTTCTTTATAATTAATTATGAAAATTCATTTTAAAGAAATATATATAATCTTAACTATTTAAACTATTAAATTAAATAAAAAATTATCAATTCGAAAAGTAGCTCAGCTTTATTATATATTTTGAACTATATTAAATAATAGAATTCAAGGTAAATCTAATATAATTAAGAGTCGATCAAAAAGTTATAATTTGATTGAATTAGAAGAGGAGTTATTTATTCAATATATTCTTGATATAGATTTGAAAGGTTTTCTATTTAAACTTAAGAATATAGAAGATATAATAAATTATATTCTCGAATTGAAAAATACAAAATATATTAAGAAACTTTAGATATATCAATTTATTAAATGTTGAATCGAATTAAAGATATATTTTAATTATATTTATAACTTTTAAAGAGCTTTTTATAAGGATCCTAAGTTTATTGAAAAGTGGTTTCAATTAATTGTAAATATATAAGCGAAATATGGTATTTTGAATAGAGATTTCTATAATTTTAATGAAACAGACTTTATAATGGGAATTATATGTATAATAATAATTGTTATTAATACTAAGAGATATGATAGAAGTAAATCTATGTAATCAAGCAATCAAGAATGAGCTATAGTAATAATATATAGAAATGAAAAAGACAAAACTATTCCCCTATTTCTAATAATTCAGGGATAAGTTTATCTTTTCAATTAATATATCGAAATCAATCTTCCTATAGAATAAGCTATTAAATCTATATTTAATAGATGAACAAATAATGAAACAAGTTTAGAATAATTGAAATACTTTAATAAGTAGATTAAGAATCGAAGAAAGGATAAATATTAAATGTTAATGCTGGATAGATATAAAAGTTATAAATTAATAGCTTTTTAAGTATACTGTAAAGAGAATAATATTATATATTTATATTTATTATTACATTCAAATTATTTAATTTAATTATTTGATATTGACTATTTTAATAATTTAAAACATTCATACAATAATTAAATTAATAGATTTATTAAGATATATATCAATTATATTTCAAAGGTTGAATTCTTTATAGTTTTTAAAACTATATATAAAGAATCAATTACTTTTCAAAATATAAAATCAGAATTTCAAAGAACAGATCTAATTCTATTTAATCCTGAAACTATACTCTCGAAATTAGATATTCGAATTCACATACCTACCTGTTACGACGGCATCCAATATACCGCGTCACATGGTCAGGAAGTCACGTGATGGACCTAGAGGATCTAGGGGATCGAAGAATAAACATCTAGATCCATAGGATCCAGAGGATCCAGACAAGACAGAACTGTAGGTTCTGCAGAGCAGGAAGGTCTATATAAGAGAACAGATTTCATTACAATGTAGAGCTTCGTGCTCAAGAACAATCATTAGTTTCATTACTATAGTTACGAGAATTGCAACCAGTTACAACCTTATTGAATTCCTACTTGAAGTCTAGTCTAAACCACCTCGAGAGATCTCTAGACACTTCCACGTGACCCTAGAGGCAGCTCCCGTAACACTACCCTCTCTTCTTTCAATCTAAATCAATAAATCTCCCAAACCCTTTATAATCCAATTGAAACTCTTTCTCAATTAATATTAATTAAATCTCGAATAACTTATTATCAAATAAGCTCCCCTATATTTATATTTGAAATTATACTAATTTTAATTAAAAGTATAG